AAAAGGAATATATTTCCTATACAAGAATAAAGTTTTGTTTCATGGGAAGATAAAATAAATTTTGTTCTTGACTTTTCTACTACAATGGTCTGATCTAGAATATACCTATCGTTTGCTGGAAGGAAGGTCACAAAAACAAATTGTCTAGTTCAAATAAGCAGGTTTTAAAATTGCTTTAATTTTTTTACTTAATAAAAGGTATAAAATTACCTTCAGGCTCCCCAGGGTTTAATTTTTTTTTCTATGAAGTATTGACACACATCGAATTGAGGGCAAAGGAAAGCATACTTTAAGGAGAGACTCTCCAAATCTTTATATATTTCTTTATATTTATTCTCTGTGCTATAGTTTCTCAGAGTTTCCATTCTTGAAAAAGTCCCATTCCAGTTTTATTAAATACAGGATTTTCTTTCACCTCAGCAGATTTTGTAACATATATTCAATAGCATTTTAAGCCATCACGGACTTGTATCTTGTCTGATGCAGGCTTCCTTCCTTCACACTCTTCAGAAATAAAAAAAGTAAAAAAAAGTCTTTTCCTTCTCCAGAGATATGTGAAACTGATCTATGGATTTCATATTTATAACAGAGAATAGACAGAAAAAAAATAAAGGATGTAACCTTTAGTTACTGTTGACTGGGAGATAAGGTATTTAGATATTTCATGAGACATAGCAAGATAGGAACAAAAATAGCCCCACTCAGTCAAGCCTGAGGTCCTGGTTTATTTTTCAGCCATGCCCCCTTCCGTTCTGCTGGTGGAGTCCCTACAACGTGTTGGGGTTTGTTCTCTTGATGAATCTGTACCACCCCCCTCCCTGATTCCAGGTCCTCATCCTTCTAATTTCTCAGTTTCTCCAACGTCTTTCCTCACTGAGTTCATTCTTAACTTTCTTCTTCATCTTCTTAGTTCTTGGTGAACGACTCCATCCGACAGGGAGCTATCGATTACTCTGCCTTAAGGATCTGAATGTTGTGTTAGTTTTTATTCCATCAGCTCCAAAGCTTTCCTATTTCATAATGAATCCATTCATGTTTTTGAACATGATCCTCTCTCTTTGCCTATTTAGTTCTGTTTTGTTTTCTTCACTCTCTCAATGGGCATGCTGATTTTTTTAGCCCATTATAGGTTACAGAACCTGCTCCCCCCCCCCAAAAAAAATACACAGGAAAGCACTGTGGGTGATATACATATATAATTCTATGATGCTATTATGTAGAGAATGCTTGTAATTGCAACTTTATTAAAAATAGTAACTTGATTACTTTAAAGTCCTTTTTCTCATGTGATTACTTTTCAATTTATTGGCCCTAATTTACACATTTCTACCTCATCTTTTATTGATAGCACTTATCTAGTATATATTTCTTCATCATTTGATATTTCATTTTTAATCCATTTTAGTATCATATCTGAATTGTTTGCCAGTATTTTTCAGAATCGCACATGTTCAGTATATTATTTTACTTCTTACTGATATTTAACTTTGGAGAGGGAGAGTGAAGGGCTCAAGCTAGTCTCAATATTCCTTTTGCATAAATTCTATTCAATCCACCTACACCAGAAATGTAATATTTCCCTGCTTTTAACTTTTCAAAATCAACATGTTCATCAGGCTATGGATCTAAATGTTAGCTACTTTTTATTACTTTTTCTTCATGCATGATAACCCATCTTCCTCTAGATAATAGTTTTTTTTTTAATTTAAAAGAATGATTTTATTTCACTTGGAACATTGCTTGAGTTCCAATGGCTTCGACCCACATCCTCTTCACCCCAAAGCTTTCTTTTGATCTCCTTCCTTTGTATCACTGGAGATAAGTCTCACTCTGATCTCAGTATATGCAACTGCTTGGGGGGTGGCAGAGTCCACAGCTCCCCTACTTCTAATTCTCCATGACTCAGTCCTGTGCACACCTCCAGACTCAGGGTTCCGACCCTGCACCCTGAAAATATTTCATCTGTTGTAGTTGTACAGCCCCTGGGGTCTCATGGAGAAACTGCTTCAGAAGTCAATTCTGTCTTACCCACAGAGTGCTTCCAATCTTAACCTTCTCCCTTTAAGATTAAGCCAGGAGCTCTCTCCCTGAATTTTGGTACAACTTTCCTACAGCAGAAAATATTTCCCAACCTCAGTTTTGCTCATTAGCCCACTTCCACTTGTACTGAATGGACCAGAGCACCACAGGACATCCGTGCTCACCCTGACCTGGGATGCAGGCTTCTCTCTCTCTCTCTAAGCTCCTGTGATCATTTACTTGAAGTCTAAGTAAGAAAGCAAAAGGCAAACTATATTCCTGAACTCATGACTCATTTTCCCTGAAAGATTTTGTATTTTCTTACACATTGTTTCAGCTCCCACTTTTACAGCATCCCTCCCTTGCTTGTTTTCACTCTAAAAAGAGCATTTTATCATTTGGAATTCTGATGAATTTATTAAAGGGCAAGACTCTACAGAGTGCAAAGGTCATAATGCCAAGCTATTCTTTCATCTTCTTTTATCCTGCAAAAGAGGAAGCTGAACCACAAATACTAAAAGGAAGCAGATTTGCCTCATAAAGCATATAATAAATTTTAGTCAGATGTCAGATTATATAATCTTAGATTATAATTTTTAGCACAGATATATAGTAATTTAATAGACTCCTTTTCCAGGAATATAACTGCTTGGAATTTATCATGATAAATGTAACATTGCACAGTAATACATAAATTCCTATAACCTGAGAACACTGTACATAATGATGAAACCCTGGAGACAGCGAATATCCATGAATAGGGTTATGACTCCCAGTGAGGCCACAGTCATGGTGTAGTGTATTATATAGTCATACAATTTTTGAAGGACATTATATGAAACATAAAAAAATGCTTATGATAAATTTTCAATGGAAAAACCACTAGAAAAATTGTACAATGCTTTGTCTACAACGCCATAATCAGCTCTCCAAAAGACTGCAGCAAATGCACAGATGTTACAATGATTCATGTTAGGTCATTAGGGCTATAGATGTTTATTTCTCTTCCTCCATCATCTTTGTCATGTCTATCACATCTGCTTATTTTAAAATTCAAAGGACAAGTTGAAACATTTAAAATTGCCTACAAAGTTGGAAAGATGTAAAAACTTCTTGATCAGACCCTTTAGACAGGTCAGAATGACATAACTTGATCATCAGTTTCCCAACCATTGGTAACGCGGGGAAGAGGGAGGCATTTTATCACATCTTTAAGCTCAAGATCCTCATTTCCAAGCCAAAACTTGATGAGACATTTGCCTCTCCAGACAGATTCACAGGGCCTGGGTCTATCTCTTTTTCTCACTGAATTCCCAGCTCCTGGTCCAGGGCCTGCTTTACATTAAGATATTAAGCTGTGAGTCATTGTGACTTTTTTCCTACACAAACTCAAAATCCACATGTGACTTTTCCCTGGGGAATAAATTTACTAAGCCATGAAAATGCTGAAACGATCTTATCTTAGCATCGTTGATAAATAATAAAGCAAATATATATATGCATACCCAGTTGTACATGCACATACCCAGTTGTACATGCGCATACACACATGCACACACGCACACACAATGTATGCAGGAGAGCAGAACAAACGGAACACACATTTCAAAGAAAGACCACAGCCCAACAAGAAGAAAATGCCACTCAAACCTTCAATTCCCTACATTGCACGACACTACTACGAGTAGTTATTTCTTTTCAGAGGGTTCCACGTCTCCTCGTTTGAATATCAGGAGTCACATCCACAGTGAGAATCAGCGCCCTTCATCTGATTTGACTTTGGCTTTTATATGGCCCTGCTAGGTCAGCACTGTCCTGCCAACACGGCACATCCTGCGCGAACTCAAAAGAGGGGCCCACGAGCCTGTTCACTCTCGAATGTCCCCCAAATCTGATTTTCCCTCCCTCGTTTGGTTTTCGCGGTTGCTGGCTCAACATGCTCTTAGGGAGAAGGCCAGGCCCGCCTGGACAGCTCAGGGCGCGCCCCGGCCTCCAGGAGAGGTGGCCGCAGAGGCTGGCAGGCCCGGCCGGGCACCTGGAACTTCTGGAAGGATCCTGGACCGTTAGAGGCACGTCTGCTGTTCATCTGCCCCCAGAAAACCACAGTGTCCACCACAGTGTCCACCCTCTCAATTGCTTAATTTCAAATCAAAGCACAGCTGTGGCACGGCAATGTGATGCACAAACTAACACACAACAGCACCTGTTCATGTGTGCGCCCCCCTGAAGGTTCTCCCCAACGTCTGGCCTCCTCACGCCGCTGTCACTGGCGCCCCAAAGACTCTTCCCCATGAGGCAAATCCGGGCCCAGCTGATGACCCCCCCACACACGCACACGGAGTGAGGGAGTGAGACTAAAGCCGGGCCAGGCCTGGACGCGCGAGACACCCTAAAAATTCTGCCGGAAGTGGAAACACGGAGCCCAGGGTAGGTTAAGAAGGGATCTGGGCCAGAGCGCACACCTAGCAAACCCCAAAAGCGGAAAAGACGTCAGAGAACGAACCCCACGCTCGGGCTCCGGCCCCCCTCAAGCTTCCAGCCTGGCGAGCGCAGCCGGCTCTTGGGGCGCCACGACAAGCCCTGGAGGCCTGGCCAGGTCCCCCCTCTGCGGGCCTGTGGCCACTGCGGGGCGCGGCTGCCCGCCCAGTTAATGAGGCGCCAGGGCCGGAGCCGGGGGTGGGGTGCGGCGGCCTAGGCCCTTCAGGGACCTGCGGGGGCCGGGCCGCCCGGCTCCTGCGCGCTCGCCCCGAGGTGCCTCCAGCGGGGCCGCCGTGCGCGCCCGCCGGGTCCGGCCGCTGGCCCGTCTCCCCGAGGCCCGGGGCTTCCAGAACCGCCGCCGCGGAGCCGGGAGGGGCGCGGGGCGCGGCCGCCGCCCGCAGCTCTCGCGGCCGAGGATGGGGCGACCCCGCCGCCCCCCGCCACCGCCCCTCTCCCCGCCCGCCCGCGGGGTGCGCCCGGCGGGCCCGGCGGCCGTGACCAACCTGTAACCCGCGCGCGCGGCGCGGTCATGGTGGCGCGGGCGGCGGCACCGGCCTCCCTCCCGGCTGCGAGGCGCGCCGCCCGGCCCGGCGGGTGCGGCGCAGTGCGCGGGGCGCGCGGGCGCGCGGTGCCACCCCGCGGCGGGGCCTGGCAGCCCCGGGCCGCGCGCGAGGGCCGGGGCGGGGGCTCGTGTATTTGTTTTTGCCCTAAAAAAGATCCGAGTGGGCGCCGCGGCGGGGGCCGCGGGGACGCGTGGGTGGACGGGAGAGGCCGCGCGGGAGGCTGCGCCGCAGCGCGGGGCGGGGGCTGGTGCCCGCAGGGCCCGGGCTCTCCGGCTGCCACCCGCCGCCAGTCTCCCAGCAACAGCTGGCGCGCCCCTGGCGCTCCCCAGCGCGGCCGGCCGGGTCCCTGGAGACCGCGCGAGGGGCACCTGCCAAGGCGCTGCAGAGGGGCGAGCCGGGCCGGGGCGCGCCCTGGACAGCGGGGTCTCGGGGTGCCGACCGGCGTCACCCTCGATAATACGCATCGCAGTCTTTTAAATATGCTGCCATCTTTCCTGACAAGGTAGTTTGCTCCATGGATGAGGCTGCGTGCCCATTCAAACATGGGGAGATCCCTCCAGGGCTGTAAGAAACCCCCCCCCCCAAGAAGTTCCCCGCTTCTAGGGTCTCCTAGCAGAGCAGCTGGAGGGAAATCTTGGAATCCTGAGTCTTGTGTTCCAGCCCGACAGACACCCCCTCAAATGCACTTGCTGAAAAGTTTTCTCTGGGACCCGCATCCTGCCTTGCAGGCAGAGGTGAAACCCATTGGGAAACCCTTCACCGTGATTTCGCAACGTGCACACACGGGCACGAAACTTCCCTTAAAAGAGGAATCAGCACGCCTAAATCCAGAACAAGTGGTAGCCCAAGGGATGGAAGTCAAGTTGCAGGCACCCATTTTAAAATGTACTTCTATAAAATAAATTAAATATGCATATTTAATCAAGTTACATCTGCAAAGAACCTCCTCAGGATCCAGTCACATCAGGCAATATTAATCCTTTCAATGATCTAAAGAAAATTTTTAAATAATTGGCCCATCATGAAATACAGAACATGTAAGCTTCCCCCCCCACCCCCAATTTTATGAAAATTTCAGAAAGGTTGGCTATCTGAAATGTTGCTTTCAATACATGATGAAGTCATCCGGAAATATTCTTCATAACGCAAAATGGAAAGTGATTTAAACATTGGTAAACCTAGAAACAGCGGGGTTAGAAAAACCATGTACCAACTTATTTAATCATTTAAGTCACTGCTATTGTTTTATCTAAATGCTGTATTAGTCTGTATCTATAAAATAGAAAGCTGTGTACCATTCTTTGGAATGCACCGAGACTCATCAGAAAATCATATTCATGGAATAATAAAAGATCAAATAATTAAAGATAATTACTCTTTTTTTTAAAGTGAGAGGCAGTAGTTTTACTAATCTCAGTACCATTAGGTGTGTCATACTCTGCTCTGTTTGAATAACTGCTGTGTGCGTATCACACATGCATGGGGGCCAACCATGCTACGGATGATGGAGAAAGCCTTGGCAACCCATGAGCTTGCAGAAGGCAGCCTGGTATCCCCAGCCCAGAACCTGTAGGAACAAATGTGTGTGGGAGTGGAAATCATCAGAAATCTCACACCACTGCTTCTACCTGCTCATCACCCTTCTATTTTCTCATTGGCAAAATGGCGGAGGGTGAAGAAGCATCTTTTCTGTCCAATGGGCTCTGTGATTCCACTCATGGCTATAATTCCATGAAAGCAAACGTCTGCCCTGTGGATTCAGTATCATTCACAGGTGTCTTTTATTTGGCTTGCAAAATATTTTTGACAAATTAAGATCAATTACTAATATAAAACACATGAAATTTTTAACTTTGGAAAACAAGAAGATCTGGCCAGGTCAGGTCCACATTTCTGCATGGCAAAACATAACTGGAGGTGTTCCAGGCTTCCAGCTACCCTCAGACGGGCATGCATTTCCCTGTGTTGCAGAAGCTCATCAAGAGGGTGTCACCCAGAGATCATCAGGAGCATGTAACCTCCGTGTAACCCACGAGCTGAGTGGGGCATTGGAGTTTCCTCACCGCCCTCCCCTGTCCTTGAAATGTACATTCTCCCAATTGTTCTCACGCTAGGAGTCATTCCAGGGAGCAACCTTGAGAAAGGTTATGAAGACGTCTGGATGGTACACTGACTGAACCCCACTAAGACTTTGCTATAAATTTGAAATTCTGGTGGGCAGAGGTGCAACTGCTGCAGACAAGCTCTGATGTGAACTCCCTTGCGTGTTAGAACCTCCACTTTCCAGTCTGGAGTGATCTGCCTTTCTTCTACAATGTCCAGCCCCAGAAGACATTTGAAGGTGTCAGCCTGCACTGTTAAATCTGTATTCAACAATATAAATTTGAAGAAGGGGGCCATCAAACAGAAAACAATTAAATACAGGGAAATTTACAATGCAGAAATTGAAGCCAAGCCAATGCACAAGCAGGAGAGTAAACTGTGAATTAGAGGAAATCACTTTCATAGTCATCAAGGGCTTCGGAATGGAAGTAACTATGAAATGCAAGAGAGCAAGGGTTTGATGCCTACAGGATATTTGTTTCTCACTAACTCATCTGTCTCTATTGTTTATTTCCACCTTAAACTAATGTCCTATTTGACACCACAGTGAGTAGCTAAGAAAACAGTAACAGTGCTAAAAGATAAAATATTTTATAACTCCATGGAAGGAATACCATGGTCTACACAGGAAGAAAAACTCACCCAATCTCAGGATTCTGCTAGATTAGATTTATAGGTCAATGCCACTGAGGTAATCACCCAAGATGCTACTCCCCTTTATTTTTAGACCTTGGATAAGATTGATATTCATCTTTACATGTCAGCTTAAATTACATGATTTCAGTGCTCACATATGGTCCGGTTATCACTAACTATTGATAAGACTGAATTTTATTTACTAGAGACACTAAGGAAGGGAAAATAAAGTTCCAGAATACCTAGCTCAAAATACCAGCAGGCCAATCCGGAGACAGGTGGCGGTGGCTAAGTCACTAGCGTGGATGAGCGTGGGCAGAATCAGTCCAGAGAGAAAAGATGCATTGGATGTTGGAGGACCAGGGATGTAACAGTGCAAGGGGAGGTTCCAGTTCCCTACCCCACCTAGGAAGGGTGGAGCTGGGCAAGAGGTGAAGCTATTAATAAAAGACTGCGAAAAGGACAGGAAGAAAGTGAAATGAAGCAGGGAGAGAAAGAGACTGGAAGAAAACAAAGAAGGGGGGTGGACAGAGGTGGCGCATGGACCAGAGAAACACGTGAAGAGGAAGCCAAGCTTGCTTCTCAAATTTGGACTTGGACCAGGAACTTGGGGGACATGGAAATAGACTTGGGTGAGAGACCCGTGGGGAAGCTGACAATGGCAACCTTTATCTTGACTTGGATTTGATTTTTCTGTTTTTTACGCCCAGATTTCCCTGGCCCCTTCTGCCTTTTCCTGTGGGTTCCCACCAGAAGGTGCCTTGGGGTAAGCTTCTGAACCATAGCAGCTCTGCTTTGGGCCAGCCGTGTTTGGCTGGGCATTTGCCTACAAGGGAATGGGTAACTCTGGGTGTTTAACTGGAATCTATATTAACTATATTCTTTCTCTATTGCACACTAGTTGTATCAAAGTGCTTTTCTATTGAAGGTCTTATGCACTAAGATTATGTTTGTCTTTATGTTGCAGATGGCAGAACCCATTTAGAGCAGGTAGGTTTGGGGGTGCCAGGGTGCCCTTCATTCTGCCCACTAACAAGGGCAGGTTTCATATGGTTTGTTTCCGAGAACTTCCAGCTGGAAGTGTGATATTGGGGACTTGGAGTATCCTTTTCTTTTCACGGATCCACTGACTAAATACCCACAAATTAGTCATTCGCCATTTAAATGTTGCAAGATATTAGAATATAATTTTTGTCTTAACTTTTCTTTAGAAAATATTTCCAAAAATTTCCCAATAATTAGAATCACTTGGGTGAGCTTAAACATTTCCTTGGAGACTCTGATTAAGTATCTCTGGAATGGAACATGCAACTATGGAGAATCTGTTAATAAAACAGATATCCCTTAAGCAGCATAGCTCTGTAGTTGGCACCAAGTTACAAGAATCCCTTTCCTGACACAGGAGAGTAGACTTGCCCACTCTCTTCATGCTCCACCTGTCCCGCCACCACCATCACTGTGGGGACCCCAGACCAGTTCTGATTCGCAGGGGACCTTTGCCCTTATGTTGTAGCTGTGTTATCTGAAGCACTAAAAACCTGTGAGTGCAACTAAGTGGTAAAAAACCATCTGCTGAGTCAAATTTGAGCCTTTGCAATGTTGTCAAATGGCCATTTGATGTTTCAAGTAGTTCCTATTTGCATTCAAATCAGCCATAGATAGGAGATAAGTTTAGCATATGCCTCAAATAAAAGGAGGAAAGATGAATTAAACCTCAGATAAAAGCTATAACTCTTGAACCTGGCAGAAGTATATGGGGAGATGAAATGCATTTGATTTCCCTTATGGTGAAATAAACTGTCTAATGATATGGGAGAAATTCCAGGGGACAAACTGGGTCGGAAAAACCCTATGGCGTGGAAGGATGTATGATCCTCACACTATGCATAGTTTGTAGACCCACCGGGGGAAAAAAAAAAATCCCTAGCTCACCATTTTCTTTTACTTTAGGATTATATTTTCTGAGGAAGCTAACTTTTAGAATTTTAAAAAAGGAAAACCTGAGAAATTAGGAATAAATATAATACCAGTTAAACACTGCTGGGGGCAAACAGCTGTCATTGCATTGAGAAGCATTTGAACCAAATGCCCAAAGGAGCTAGTGGACTTCTGAACAGCGAGGCTATGTTTCCAGAGAGTCATGTAGTACAGTGAACACTGTTTGGCTCTTTAATAATAAAAGCTTCTGCCAGATAGAAGTAAATCTTTGAAAATAGCCTCAAAGATTCCATTTATTGTATAAAATATCTTAGAACCCAGAATGCAGACCCCTCAAAGTTGATGGGGTGGTGCACTGTGCAAGGCAAGCCACCCCAAAGTGCTGGCCAGTGGAGAGGGGGGTCCAGAGTGGGTGACAGAATGAGAGGTCATGAGCACAGATTATCAACTGAGATGTGCTCTTTGCAATGTCACGGAAGACTTACAGAGGGATGTGTGCTTAGTGAAATAAATCAGAGAAAGGCAAATGCTGTATGATTTCACTTACATGTGGTATATAGAGAAACAAATGGATGAACTAAATAAAACAAAAATAAAATTTTAGACTACAAGACCAGCAGGGAAGAGGATTGGGTAAACTGGGTGAAAGGGTCATTTGTTTGGTGATAGAATTAGAACCTTGTTTTCTTTTCTTCTTCTCCTCTTTTTTTCCCTCATCTTTCTCTTTTTCCCCTATTTTTGGAGACATAATGGAAAAATAAACCATTGTGAAGGTAAAAAAAAAAAGAATTGGATCTTTTATGAACTTAATGTGGTATATGCAATTTTATGTTATAATGCACTGTTACTTTCATTAAAATAATTACAATCCCAGCATACTATGTACCAGACTTGCTGAATTGGGGTGTGAGTGTGGGGGGTTGTTGGCAGGTGGGAAGTGTTAGGAGTTGGCACCTCAACTCCGTCCGGGGTTCCCAAAAACTACACAGAGCCAGAGATGCAAAAGCAAAAAGGCTTTATTGCTAGCTTAAGCTAGGGTCCAACTCTCCCTGGTGTACTGACACAGCAGTCTCATCCGGTTGAGAGAAGGACCCCTTTAAGGGTGACAAGCTGTTTTTTATACTCTGTTTACAGCAGAAAAAGGGGACCTTTCATATCAGAAAAAGGGGACCTTTCACAACAGAGACCAAGTTCAATCTGATTGTGTACCTTTCTTTGGCAACCTTTAAGTTTTGTTTATCCTTGCCTTGGGGAACTTGTGATTTTACCCTGAAACGAAACTTGGGCTCAGCTGTGCTCTTCAAAATGGTCGTCTTCCTTAAAATGGCTGCTGTCTTGCTATGTTTAGTCCTTCAATATCTTACAGAAGGAAGGAGGTAGATATATATACAGGGGGGTGATGCATATGAAGAGATTCTTAGAGGAGACACAGAGGAGAGACATGTAGAGACACTTGGAAGAGACGTGGGTGAGAGTCACATGAGGAGGCTGCGACTCACTGGTCTTGGCAGAGACAGTGGCGGTTTTCATTGTGATCTCACATTGTATTGTGTGGCTTATTGTGAATTTTGAGTCTTTCCTTTTGTCTAGCTTTCTGGGATCTGTCTGGGACATGCCTACCCTTTCCTGTGGTCCTCTGCCATAGGATAGCTTAGACCTGTGGCAAGTTTCTGGGCCTCAGTGGCCTCTCTTTGGGCCAAGGTTGTTTGGCTGAGCACTTGTCCATTAGGAAATGGATAAAATTTGGAATTTTTATATTTTAATATTTGGAAATCCTGTGTCTCTCTCTCTCTCTGAACACTAATTCTATTAACAATCTTTCACACTGAGAGTAGGCTTCCTATGCATCCATCCATATGGATGGCTGGGGCCCTTTTAAAGGGTGTATCCCTTAAAAGTTTGAGGTCCCTGGGTACCCCTCAGTTACATGCTAGCAAATTTGATTCCTGGCACTGCACTGACCACCATGAACCACATGCATAATTTGTGAAATAGGGTTTTGGTTGATAACTTTTTTAGATAAGAGTATTTTACTTCCTAGTTTAATAAGAGTTTTCATATTTTAATCTTGAGTAAATTTTTATTTTTAAAATGACTTTCCCTGCATCTGTTCAGATTAACATTTCTCCTGCCATCTCTTCATGCTGTGAATGATTCAATCAAATGACCTTGGGTGTTATCGTAAGTTCTGGTTTCCATTAAAAATCACAAACATATAATTAAAGCAAAGACACTAAGAAAAAAAGGTGTTTTTCTCCTCCCTCTCCCCCTGCCCAGTACACCTGCCACAATAACCAGCTACTTTACATTTGGACCAAAAAAAGATATGAAGCCATTTTTTTCTCATAGTAAAATCTTCTGGACAAATGATTAGTCATTATCAGGTAGGGTGTTATACCCAGTGAGCTCCTGAAACAGTGTTTATATTCAGGGAAAGGAAGTCAGTTTAGAGACCTCAGAAAACGTTTTAAATTTTCAGTTTTCTTAGGGGCACTTCCCATAAGTTACAGCTGTTTCGAGGAACTCTGGGCTCTTCATGACAGAACTTGAAAATCAGGAAATCAGCCTTTGCTCTTCTCTCGCCTAACACACTGAAATGCACCCACATACACACAGAGCAGTGCTTGCTGGGAGATCAGGGGAAGTGCTTGTGCTTCGCACGTTCTTAATGCTGCCTTTAAATATTGAAAGTGTTGGCTTTCTTTCCAACATAATTTTCCAACATTCACAGCCAAGTAGCAGGGGGAAGCGCTACTGAATTATGGTGACTATACCTGATACTTTACCCTACATTGTTATTTCCCAGTGGAAGGAGTTCCAGGAATTATGCTGAGTAAATCAAGTCAGAATGACAAGGATAAATAGTGAACATTTACACAGAGGATGATTCAACAAAGAAACCTCATGTTTCCGAGGTTAAGTGGAAGTCAGGAGGGTGTAAGTGTCAAAGGAATATAAGGAATGATAGTGTGGGGGAAAAAAAAAAAGGTGTATTTTTCCAGTCTTTTTTGTTTGTCTTTAATGCCAGAAGCATTTGAAAACATTAGAAATAACCGTCTAGATTTTTCACTACTATGTCATTCACTCTCAACCCTCCTTTTAATCTTGATTGAAAGATTTCAGGTATTAATCATAGCTTTAGAAAATGTTCCAGTGGTTAAATTGGGCCTATTCTGTTTCCATATTGTCTTTTGTGGAAATTATTTATAACAACATACGCTCTTATTTAAATTTTAAGGCCCTGAAAGGGGGTACATAATAGTATAAAACTTTGTGTCCCTATTTTGCCTCATCTGTAAGTTGCTCAATCAATGTTTGTTTAATGAATTAACTAAATACCAATTAACTCACAAATTCAATTGTTCAACATTTGATGCTTGGTATGAATAATTTTTCTCTTTGATGCAATAGGTATTTTTAATGAGACAGTCACATATTTTTATATTAGGAACTGAAAAATTTCCATTCCCTGACCAGAAATCAATCTCAAAACAACCATGGTAATGTCTAATTACTAAACCACCAGGGAGCCGAAGCTTCCTATTTTAGTGTGAAAATAAAATAGAGGAGGAAGTTGAATAAGTATGTGCTCATTAGTCTTCAAAATAGTCTCACATTGTAAGACTGGAAAAAGCCTTCAGAGGCCAGTGGATTCAGTCTACACTGAGGCATGATGATAAAAAAAAAATTATATGAAAAATATTAGCGTATTTCCTAGATAAGAACATTAGTGAAAAAATCTTTCATGAAGGTCTAACTGTAAATGTTCATGACGTTATATAAAAAATACAAATTATGGACATATGGTGAGTTTAGCAAAATATCAGATGAGTTTAGCAAAATTCTAGAGGTTGGAATCAAAATTTACCTTTGGTGCTAATAACTCAAAACCAAAGGGACATGTCTTCTTTCATAAATTATTGTAGGCAAAACTGCATCACTAACACTTACTGGCACAGAGGATGAGAGAACATTTTAAAAAAATCACACAATTCTAAATCGAATAAGGAATAGTGGGATTTTGCAAAGAAGTTTTAGGGATATATCAACCAGTTTATTTCATTCACATTTTCCCTTTTATTTATAGAATAGGGAGGTAGGATAAAAATGAATATACTCTTGAACAAGCCTAAAAAATCTCTTCCAAATAAGTATAAAGGAAAACATCTGAAGAGAACACACGTCATTACTTCATTGGTCACTTTTTACTGTCTTAATGGTACAGAAATAATGTGGCGAATTTTACCATAATTGGCATCTGATATTTGATGAACTATAACAAGCAAAGTGACTGACATCATAGATTCTCAATGACAGGGAAAGGACCTTACGTGAATTATTACCTCACCACTCTTAAAGCGCTTAGGAATTTCAGTCCTCACAATAATTTTTTGGAAGTACTAACACAAGGTAAAAATATACAAGGTAAATAATTTAGTTCTTTATTTTAGTCTTACTGTTAATTGGAAAAAGTTGATGCTTTTGCTCCATCCACAGTTATGTCTAATCAATTTCAAATAGTCCCAGGAAGAGCGTGAATTAAAAACATAAAAATTATAAATTGAGGCATAGATTCTCTCATTGTATTAAAAACCATTTCAATGCACCACAGCACTACAAAAATCTTCATGTTTTCAATCCTTTGTGAGGCTTCATTTGACTCCACAATGCCAAAGCAATGACTTAGGGGAAGGATGAGCTGAAGAAACAAATTGTGTGACTATTTCAACTAGAACTTGAAAGTCAAGTGTAATTTATGGTGTTGCTGGGCTCAAGAAGAAAGCAGAGGTGAAGGGAAAGTGTGAATCCACAGCATTATTCACAGACAAGATGGTGAGCTGCTGGCTCCTCAAAATCTGCTGTGTCATTCCAGGCCTCACTCAGCTACTCAGCTACTCAGCTCTTCTTTTTGGTTATTTGCTTCATTAGTCCCTCTTCCTTTTCCTAAAAGCATTTTAATTGATGTCCCATCATTCATAATAATTTATTGACAGATTATCAGGCTTATCGCAAGTGTTCTATATGATTGAATTGCTTCATTGTTTATGAAAATAAAAAGTTTGGCTGATAATTCTCATCACAAGAAGACAATGTTTACAAGTTGCCTAGGCAAACAAAGGATATCAATGTCCATGAGATGTCTTTTCTACCTATCATTTCAGTTTTTTATCTTGTATGTCATTGTGGGAAATGCTCAGCACTGACAAAGGCACCTGCACTGTCCTTGTTATTTCCCTGCTGCTTATAGGTGTCTCAGACCAATGCTTAAGGGAGGCTCCTGACACTGGCACCCCTCCCTCTCACCTGCCAAGCACTGCTCTCTGCCTATACAGTCTCTCTATTTTTTCCTGATTATATAGGGTGGAGTCTACAAGTGTAAATATAAGAGTGAAAATAATGGAAATGATAGTGTAAACAAGAGTTTTAAATGGAGCAGTGTATGGTGTTCACTGCAGAAAAAACCCCGAGTGGCACTCCAGTGGGGAGAATGCTGGAAGCCTCCAGTTTCGCCATAGACCAGCCAGTGTAGTGGGAAAGAAGGCAAAGAAAAATACACGAGTTAAATATATTTTAACTCCTGGAAACTTTGGTACACAGACTAGGTCTATCTGAATGACCATTACCAGGATAAATACTAGTTTCCACCCTCCCCAAAGTACTAGCTTCCACCGTATATAATACATAGTGGAATATATGTATACACACACACACACACACCTGTATTTCCCCCCTTCATATATATGTATATATATGTAAACATGTGTGTGTATCCCCCTTTATGACCAGAAGACTTTGGACAAATATACAAAGAAAACACAGAAATGCAGACTTGGAAAGAACCCATGTCCCCTTCCACCATGACATTTGGAAACTGAAATTTCAGCAGGTTAAAGAACCCAGCCAAGGTCACGCAGCCATCCCATGACAGAGCCAGCCTCAAACCCGCCTCTGAACAAATAGTCAGTGTTCTCTCCTCTGTTTGCTCCAGATTCCAGGCCCCCATTGTTATTAATTGATTAACAGCTGAGCATCACTGTAAGAATTAAGAGTCTATTCATTGGGATAAAACAATATTGAAGTGATAAATCTCTGTACCTGAAGTCAATGAAAATACATTTAGAATTTTCCCCAAAAAATTTCCCTTCAGAATCAACTAGAACTGGGAAAATACGCAGAAGAGTGAAAGATTATTTCTTATCCCAGAAGCTCTTAACAGTTCCAGGTGTTTTTACTACGTGGGAGGAAAAAGCTGCCTGGATCTGCACCAACATCTGCAAAAGATGTTAACTAAACACCTTTTATTCCACAGCTCTGGCCCAGATGAAAAGTTCTTTTTCTTGGAAATTTAAGCTTATTTTTATTGCTGCCTGGGAATATTTAGCCTTCCTGAAAGCTTTGGTGTAATTTTGGCTATTTGAAAACCTGGAAGATTCCTTTTAGTTGAAAATATTATACAAGTGGGTTTTGATTAAAAGTGAGACTTTTTTCTAGTTTAAACTTGACTTTAAGCGATTGACCAATTAGTGTATTAATGTGCCATTTATGAAAATTGAGTGAAGACTGCTGATGATCTGAAATCAAGATTAGCTTTCTTCACATTTTTCATGACAAATATAATTTTCTTCCTAACTTTTATATTTTAGTTGCTTAAGTTAATCCCCTGACAGTCTGCCAATTTTTTAAAATACTCTCTGTTAGCTCAAATTGTTGAATTTAATCAAGGTGCATCAGACTGTAAAAGGTCATTCACTCATTCAGTCTCTAGCAACTCTGCCAACTACTGCAGGTACAACAGAGTACAGCAGAGACAAGGTCCTCTTGTCATGAGAGATGATTTCCAGATGGGAGTGGTAGATTATACACAAACAGGTAAATAGATAGAAAAAATGTTATGTTAGATCCTGAACAAGGGCTGCCAATAAAATAAAATAAAATAGAATAAAATAAAATAAAATAAAATAAAATAAAAGGGGCTTTGTCAGGGGAGCAGTTTTAGACTGAGCTAAGAGAGGAAGGAGGGAGGGAGGCAAAGAGAAGGTGTTAGGGGGAAAAGGAAGTCCTAAAGCTCATTCCATACAGGCTTTGTGGACTCCACCCCCACCCCAGGCCAAAGCCAAAGACACTGGGAACTCCACATCCTATCACCACCAAAGGGAAGGTGGCTGGGACCTGAGGGTGGGGTTAAGCAGCCAGGTTGGTATAAAGCCAGACACGTGGGCTTTGGAGGGATCCCCCCATTTTGGCTCCCCGCCAGCTAGCAGAGTCCGGCCAGCTCCGAGAGTGCCTTTGGGTTTCCAGGTCGGCGGATCGGGTAGGACGCATTAAAGACTTTATTTCCCTATTTTCTCCCTGAGTTGTCCATTTTCCTTATTTCCTTTTCCCTGTTAAATAAACCTTTTATGAACCTTTTGTGTGTGCCTGTAGTGGAGTATTCATAAGTCCCTTTCAAGCACGCGGGTGAGGACCCACAGCCAGGCACCCCGTTCAATATGGGGCTGCCCTGTAACAGCCGGACAATAAATAAATGAATGGATAAACAGATGGATAAAATGAATGGATTCATTATCCAAATGAATGGATAAACCCCATACCCCTGAGATGTTGTCACCTGGGATTCCTTGCTGCAGTTAGATCCCATGCCAGATCTGCTTACAAGTAGGTCCTCGAGGCATTTGCAAACTGGAAGAAGGGAGAAAGTAGGTTTTTCAAAGCTATTAGTACTTTGGTAGGAAAAAAAAATCAAAGTTTACTAAAAGGAGGTCATTTTAAGTTATTCCTTTTGTTTTGACAGAATTGCTGTGAATCTAAGACTTTCTACTGAGTCACCAAGTCAGCCACACTATAACTATTTCAACTTCCTGGGAATATTACTTTGAGTCAGAGCAATAAAATGAACTGAGCACTTATAAACACTCTGTCTCCTGGCATATGCTCTCTCTGCCTCACAGCTGCACACGCACCCGGTAGCATTCCTCACTGCACCCTGCTGTGTGAAGATACCAACTGTTTCACATCATGAAAGAGATGTTCACACATCAGGTCCACATTTCACAGGATTCTTTTTTCCCCTCACAGAAAATATGCAACAGGTAAAGAACACGTGATCATTTATTTAAAGGCCCTTGTTTTCATTGCAAATTCCTAGCCAGAGTTTGGAATGGATGCATTCTTTCTATTAGTCCCACCTCCTCTGAGTCACCAAGGAGTTGAGAACTGACAGGAGAGCCCATTCCTGAGTCCTCAGTGTTACCATGGCGAGGTAGGCATGCAAAGCCGGAAGTTGAACTGGGAGCCAGTGAAAGCTCCAGGCCCCTGTGACCCCAACCCTGAGCCCTGCACTTTGCAAGACTTCTCAAATTACCATGTGCAAATAGATTTCTCAGGCTATTGTCAAAATGCACCCCGTGATTCAGTGCATCTGGCTGTGGACAGAGAACTCGCATTGGAAACAAGCTCCCAGGTGGGCCTTCAGGGCAGGGCAGTGGCCCACACTCCAAGAACGACTGGTTTATGGACTCCCTGTCTCCCGTCAGCTCCTCCCCTTTCAGGAGAGGGTCTTGTGATTGGGAGAACCTGCCAATCCAGAGCCTGCATTGCTCCTTCTCAGTCAAACTCTGGGTCCCCGGACTCCTGAGCTCAATACCCTGACCACCCCCTGGCCTGGCCACACTTTGCCCAGTCTGCCTTCCTGGGGTCTGTCCCATGTCCCACCTCTAGCGTGGACAACCCCCAGCTGACATGTGTGCACCACAGCTTGCGTCCAGGCAGAGCCGCTCCTGCTCCAGATGGAGACAAAAAGGATGGTCTCGGCTCAGAGAACCTTCACTGGCCTTCTCACCCCAGTGGGTAAATACTGGGAGTGGCCCCTGTTGATGAGTGACAGGGAGAAATGCCATCCTATTCTAGCTTCCCGTTTTTGTTTTTTTCCTGATTTTTCCCTAATTACAACCTGGATGGTTGTATTTCCTGAGGACCCATCAACAGCAAAGCACCCTTCCTGGAGTCGAGGGAGAACACCTTCTTCCCCCACAGTGCCTGTTCTCAGACGCTCACACAAGGCAGGGGACAGCGTGGGGCTTTGGGGTCCCACAGATTCCAGCTGGTCTCACGTCCACTCCCTGTGTGCATTTGAGCAAGTCAACCCCTTTGACAAGGGGACACTCTTTGCCTTCAGTTTCTTGGTCTGTACAATTTGAAAAAGGACTCACCCCACAGCCCCCACCCCCATCCATTCCCACCCAACTCACCCTCCAGCCCTCAGCTCTGGGGCAGCCGTCTTGAGCCCATCGGGTGCGGCAGCTCATCTGAAGCCACCGGTTCCCTTTCTACTGCTCTTTCCACCCTTGGCTTTTTATATTTGTGTTCTGGTTTCGAGTAAAATTCACCTGCTCATTGGATTTTGACAGCAGGAATCACGTCTCCCTAATTCCCTGCTGTGTCCTCACTATCCTGCACAGAGCCTGGTCCTGGACAGATGCCGCACCCATGTTTGCAAAATGAATAAGTGAGCATGGGATGATTATCACAATTAGAGAGAAAAGATCCCAAGTGACTAGCACAGAGTAGGTGCTTCATAAGAGCTGTTGATTGGGCTTCAGTGCAACTGATGCTCTAAAAGGACTTTTCCCCACGTGATTGATTCTTCGGGGTGGAGTCGGGTGAACTGGGGACGACTGTCCTGTGAACTGCCCAAGTCCAGACAAAATGTGGTTGATAAACTACTGGTCTAAACCAACGAGAGCATGCCACGTTTTAAAGACTTCAGAACCAAAAGGCTCATCCTGTAAAATAAAGGGTAAAGCGCCCAAAACACAGCTGTCTGTCAGTTTTGCTGGCCGCTCTCAGCGCACACCCCAGAGCATCTTCCTGAAAAGCCTGCGTGGCTCATTCCCTCCCCAGGGGTTCACCAGCCTCCCGACCCCCCTCCTTCCCACCTGGGGCTGATTTTATCTGTCCCTTTCCTACCAGCCCAAATACCTCCTTGACAAACATTTCCGGGGCCCATACTGGAAGCAAGCAAGGATTTTCTCAAATCCGTGAACAGGACATTTTTCTTATGTCAAAACAAACCATCTGCTTGTACAACTGTTTCTAATTACTTTGCTGCTTAGACTCGCCACTTGAGGGGTTTGGCACCAGCACCCCGCCCAGAGCGGTGCCGCTGCCCAAATCCTTGCAGGCGGCTCGTCAAGCACTTGCAACTCCGTGGAGAACCTGGGACCTGCCCGCCTGGTGTCGGTGGGTCCGTCTGCCCGGCCATCTGCTGGTGGCACCTCGCCCTCCTGCAGCCTCCACCTCCTGCGAGCCCCACTCGCGGCTGCAGCTGCCCCCCGCCCCCGAGGGAGCTCAGCATGCAGCCCACAGGCGTCGGGAACTTCTTGCTGCTCGCGTCCTCCCTTCTCCTCACAGAGCTGTCAGCTGTGCCTCAGAGCTTCTCGCCGTCTCTGAGGTGAGTTGGGTTTGTTATTCTTTGAGACCCAGCGGCCCTGCTCAGCAGGGCTCAGCTGGCAGGACGCGCCCGAGGAGCCCAGAGCAGTTAGGACCTCAGGATAAGCTGTTTTCAACCTGTTTCTATGCCTTCCTTGTGTCTGCCCCGTGAGAGGCTTCACCTCTGCCCTGTTGCCTCTTTCTTAGAGAAATACAACCACCGCATAAATCCATGATTTCTTCCCTCGCCAGTGCCAATCAGGAGGAGCCCTGCAGGAGCCAATGTCAGTCCTGTGTGGGTCTGGGCCTCTGCTGCCCTAGGAACTGGGGTGCAGGCTTATTTCAGGGCTCTGGGACTTTGAGCCACCTTGAGGCATAAGGCAGCAGTTAAACTTTCCAAAAGTGGGGTTCATAAGCACTGCCGAGTTCAGCTTCCCAGAGCATCCTGTCCTGCCTTGTCATGAAATGGCCAGTTCCTTCTACACAGCCACCTCTTCCTTTTCATAAAATAACTGCCCCCGGGTGTCAGCAACAGGCCTTTCATTTTTACTTTTTAAGCTGGATAACTTTATTTTTTAAAAAAGGACTTCAAGACCAAAAAGGTTATTAGAGATAAAGAGATTTCTATGTAATACTACAAATATAATTCACCAGAAAGCTGCCACAGTTCTGCATCAGAATACAAAAATCACAGGAAAGTAAATAGTCACAGAATTACCTAGAGAAAGTGAATTTTCCATAATCTTAGGAGGAGGTTTTACTATGTAATTCGCTGAAATGTTAATTCTAGACGTTAGAGATTAGTGAAAATAGAGTTTTTGAGCAACACAACCAATCTGCTGGGCATGATGCATGGAAATAGCACCTGATACCCAACAACTGGGTAACACAGCTCCTGGGAGCAGGTGCAGGGCGATTTTTAAAGAGACCATAGAAGTCCACCAGGTGTCATCTGTTGGATGAATTTCCCCTAATATTGGTGATCTTATATTTGTATATAATACAAATGTAAAAAATTTGTATCCAGTATTTGTGAATCTTAAGACTCAGTGACACCCCCAAAAGGACCGAGCAGAATCACCTCCATCACCCTGAAAGATGCTCCTATTCCCAGGTGTGCAGGTCACCGCCTAGATGTCCTGGGTCAGGGTCATTTCTCAGGGACCGTCCCGAGGGTGCCACCTGCTTGCTAGGGAAACACAGTCCTTGGGTGGAAGGTGGGGGGCTCTTGACTCCCAGAGAAAGGTGGGGCCTCAGGCTTCCAACCCAGCAGGTGTTCCGCCTGCCTCCGGGGTGGGATGGGCGGAACGTGGGTCCAGAGCTGCAGAGGTGCTTGACCCGGCCCTGGGTGCTTGTCGCCCCTGCAGGAGCGGCCCAGGCGAGGGGTGCCGGCTGTCGCGGGCGGAGTCCGAGCGCCGCTGCCGGGCGCCCGGGCAGCCTCCGGGGGCCGCGCTGTGCCACGGCCGCGGCCGGTGCGACTGCGGGGTGTGCATTTGCCACGTGCGCCAGCCGGGCATGTACCTCGGGCCGCTGTGCGAGTGCCAGCCGTGGGTGTGCGAGACCTACGACGGCAGCGTCTGTGCAGGTAAGCGGGGGGGGGGGGGGGGGGGCGCCGCCCACACCCCACCACCCCGCCCGCGCCCCTGGCCGCGCCCCATGGCGTGGAGCAAGTCACCGCTGCTTCCCTTGTGGTTGCTGCTTCTGGAATCGTGTCTTGCATTCATTTCCTCCGCCCTCTGGGCCAAATCCTAATTGCAAGATGCACTTAATCATTCATCTCACTTGCCCCTGTTCTAGCTCCTTACTGCAAACGCATCGCTCACCTTGCTCCCAAGGGAATCATTTCCTTGCCACCCCTATCAAAAATGCTGGGCACAAGATTTGCAGAGCATAAGGCTGCATTTTATTGCTGCGAATATCACAGGGCAGCTTGAGCTAAAACAGCAGGTTGCCTCTTAGGATTTTATATGCCCCGGGGTCTCCTAGGACAAGGCTCTGCACATTCCTTCCAGAAATAGAGCTGCTTCCAGAGACCCCTTCCTCCGTGAACAAGACCAAACCCTGCTCCGGGGGTGCATCACGGAGTGATTCAGACTGTGGGTTCTGGGGGAAACTCTCCATGACTCCTGCATCCCACGGGCATGTTGTGTGTTTGAACCCCGAGTTGCCCTCTGAGGCTTCAGGCAGGGTTCACGGACAGGAGCGCATGTCGGAGAAGGGAACAAGGGAAAAACATAGATGCTGGCGTCTTTGTATGGTTTTAGCTGCTTGAATTTCTCAGCTGCAGTGAAACTTGGTATTTTGTAAAGGCGGAGGAAAAATAAATCCATATTCCCTGCACATTTTCAAGGAAGAATCAGCCTTGTGCTGTTGGAGAGGGTCAAGGTATTTTTTCCCTGGAACACCGCTAGCTTCACAAAGACATGAAATTTACTGAAGGCCAAGAGCCCCAATTAGGTGGTGATGAATGATACCCGCATTAGCAAAAGGCCAACACAATGCATCAGACCAGCCTTTGGCAATTTGGTAAGAAACATCACAACTTATTTTACCCACAATGTCCCAAAGAATAAGAGACCAAGGCCTCCCTTCGAGAGGTGGGGTGAGTTTATGGGGAAGTGTTTATTCTTGGTGCTGGGCCCTGGGAGTGAGAATAGTGAAGATGCAGGCTGTTGGGCAGTGGGAAAAACAGTCCTATGTGTGACTCCAGGCTGTGTTCAACCCTTTAAAAATACCGAAGGCCACAACTTGCTATTTTAACTTCATCAGGCCCCGAACTGCGGGGTTATGAGGGTGGCCCTTTGGAATGAAAGCTCAGTGGCGTCTACTGTTTCATTCCAAATTCAGCTGTTACCCGGCCTCTCTGGTTTTTATTGCCTCTGGCAAGACTCTTCACTATCTTGAGTTCTGAGCACATTTTTTTCCAGGGCATTTTGAATTGTTCTTTTATTGGAAGGTAAGATGTGAGATGGAGCCTTGAACCAGTGAAACTAGTGGGACGCATCCCTCCCTCCTGAGGGCATTCTAAGGAGGCCAGCGCTGTTGTTTTCTCCCATGCAAAGTGATCTATTGTTCATTGGTCACATCTTAGTCACTGAACTCCTTCCTTCCTGACACAAATTGCAAATTGCGGGCATTGAGTGAGGCAGGGTTCTGTTTGTGCTGTGAGCGTTCTTGGAAAGACCAAACGCTGGCCTTTATTCAAGGCTGAATGAAATAACTGTTTGCTTTCCATTCACCTCTTTCTGACCCACGTCATCCAGGCTTACATGGCAGGTTCTGGTGCAGAATCTGCCCTTGTGAACACATTGACTGTTTGCCAGGCCAAAGGACGTGAGGATGTCCTTCCTCAGGACACTCAGCAAATTTAGTTCATCAATTCCATCATCACAAAGTAGTTCCATGGCTAAGACAGTAGGATTGTATGACATTATATAGCTATCTATTATACATTATATTGTCATAGCATGAGATAGAAACAGCAGGTTGTCTCTTAGGATTTTATATGCCCCTGGGTCTTCCGCTCTTATGATAAGGCTCTGCACATTCCTTCCAGAAATAGAGCAGCTTTCAGAGAACCCTTCCTCAGTGAACAAGGCCAAACCCTGCTCTGGTGGTGCATCACAAAGTGATTAAGACTGTGGGTTCTGGGGGAAATTCTCCATGATTCCAACCCCAACCCTGTAAATTAACAGCTATGGGAATTGCATAGTTACTTCCTGAGACTGGGTTTCTTTATCTGTAAAGAGGGAATAAATGACAGTACCCACCTTATGTAAAACAGAATAGTGTTTTGCATAAAATAGGAGCTCGAGGGCTTCCCTGCTAGTGCAAGGGGTTGAGATGCAGCCTATGAAGCTGTCTGCAGCCGCTGCAGCATGAGTTTGATCCCCGGCCAGGGAGATGACCCACATGGCACAGCAGACCTCTCCTGACTTGCCTGCTGCTCCCCTTAGCTCAGCAGTGTGTTTCAGTAGATTTGCCTGTTCTGTTCCCCACACTGTCTGGTGAATCCTCTCACCCCCTGCAACTCTGGCCTGTACCCTAATTCTTATATGCATAAATAAAATTTTAAAAAATAAAATAAGAGCTCAATATGTATTAATATGGGAATATGTATATGGCACAATATTGCAATGGTGCAAAAGATGAACTAGGGTAGAGGACAGATGGATGGATAGATGATAGATGAAAGAAAGATGATAGAAAGATAGATAGATAGATAGATAGCTGGCTTTGCATGTGTTAGGCATTTGATGCAGTGAAAACAATTTAGTTTTTTCAATGTAGTCTGGGAGCATAATTGATCCAGAGCTCACAAGGTTGAGTAAGGATAGCTATTTTGATTGGCCTCAGAGCAGCTGCATTAGATACACCAAGGCCTTTAAACGTGAAGTCCATTGGGATTCTTATATTGTGAATCATAAAAAACACTTAAATTTGAGCTGGTGGAAAGTGATTGCGTTTACACTGTCACAAATGGTCTATTTCTTTCCAGGTACACATATTTATGGTACATGAACATTCCTTGAACTTCTTTAGCACAAAGACCTGTTTCAGGGATTGTTTCTGTGCCTGTGATGTTTTAATAAGGAGTAAGCTAATTTTGGTGAAATATGTCATTGAGAACAGGGAAGTGTTTAGTTCTACAAAAACAAACTTTCAGTTAACATTTCAAGGCATCCCTGGATAACTCCCTCAATGCCACGAGTGCATCTTCTTCATGCCAAATCTCCTTTTCCCTGTAAGACCATGTAAAGACCACCATATTTACAGGTTCCAGGAGTAAGGGGGTGCACATCTTTGGGGTCTTTATTCTCTCCCTTCTCAAGTTTATTCCTTTTGGATAAATGCATCTTGTCGTACCCCAAGTGACACATAAAAGTTAAAGGTCTTCACCCATCAAGAAACTGCAGACATATTCATTATCTCTCAGTTGTAGCCCTTTACATGTAGCTCTGCTGTCCTATCCAAAACACCTTGACCTTGGGCTTGGTCATCCCTACACCCTGATAACCTAGAAGGTCATATATATATATATATGGTGTTTAGTTCAAATAGTATAAATGTGACAAGTCCAGTAGTTATTTTTTTTAAATAAAATTTCCCCAGAAAGAGAAGGGGACATATGGGAACAAACTTGTCTTACAAGTTTTAAATTTGCAAAATATCAACCTTCTCCATCGGGCTCTCAAATGTCTTCACTATATTTTGAGACATGATGCTAAAGCCGATATCCCATGTCTCAAAAGCTGCTTAGCATCCTGGGCCTCAGACAGAGGTAGTTAAATCTTCCCTTGGCCTCCCCATGATAGGGCCAAGGTGGGCCATCAGTGGTCCTTTGTCTGGAGAATTCCTGTCCCAGGAACTATAGAAGATGAGATATTTTCCTGAGTGCCACCTCCTGCTCTTGTGTTTGTTTTCTGCTGCCACCATCACAAGTTGCCTCAGTCCTTGTGGACTTAAACAACATAGATGTGTTTTCTGTGGTGTTGTTTATCAGAAGCCCCACCGGAGTCTCCCAGGTGTTGGCCAACTCTGCTTGTTTCTGGAGATTCTCAGACAGAATCCATTTCATGGTCATTCAATGTTGAGAAAAGTTAATTTAATTCAGTTGTAGGATGGAGGTCCCCGGTCCCTTCCTGGCTATCAGCTGGGGTCTCCTTTTTCTGCTGAAGGTTCCTCTGGCTTTTGCATGTACCCCCAGGCCCTTTGTACAGCTCAGGTCCTTTGCATGATGCCACCTCTCTGAGGTTCTCATGCTGACCTCCCTTTCTCACTGCAGGCTGGGAGAAGTGCTCCACTTTTCAGGACTCACGTGTTAGACTGGATCCAAGCAGCTGATGCAGTGTAATCTTGCCAGTTCAACATCCATAATTTCAATCACAGGGACAAAGTGCCTTTTTCTATGTAATAGCATGCAAGTACCAACATATTTACAGGCTCCAGGAAGTGGGTATCTTGGGGCCCTTATTCCTGCGACCATGACCACTTTCCTATAAAGCAGGACGCTGTGTGGACGGTAAAGGAGAGATGTGCCAATCCACTCGCATGCCATCCAGGATGTAAGGACAGAGTGCCCTTTTTCTCTTCTGAGATCATCTAGCGGATCTAATTTCCCTTGTCCCAGTCCTTCCCATATGATTGCAGACAAGGAACACCAGGTTTTTGGTCTAAATTATGAAGAGTGACTCACAGACCAGCAATTTCCAACTGTCTAAGTTTCCCAAATGCTTGAAAGTTCCACTTTGCCATTTGTGATAGGGACAATAACCACATCAAATGGGGATAATAATAATATAATTATATTATTATAACTATAACACATTATTATTTATTATAACTATAATACATTATTATAACACATCTGCATTGGAATTATTATGCTTACTAATGTCAGATGTCCTTGTACTCTAGTTTGATATTTGGTTCTACTTATTCACCAAAAGCTATTTCCTTCTGTTGTATCTTCCTCTGGCGACAAGTTTCTCTGTTTCACATTTGCTCCTTCGATTGTTGGCTTTAGGCGAGGGGACTATCTTCCCTCAGACAGCACGCCTTCTCTGTCACATCAGGTTGAATGAGCTTTCAGCCCTGGCTGCCCCCTTCACTATGATATCTGCGGTTCTGATCCTGGGTTCCTCAGGGGCATGACTTTTGTGTTCTTTTCCTGCAGTCTTCACCCTGATTTACACCATGATACTCAATCTAATGGAAAGTTCCAGAAACTTATCCTCAATGCAGTGTGGTTAGTCCTTGTCTCTGGAATTTTTATTTTTCTTTATGGGAAACCTCAAGATTGTGCAGATTTGCAGGGTTTACTCAGTGCACTTAGGCTTCCGGCTCTTATGTCCACTAAGATGCTTCTATTTCCAGGCTGTTCCTTTATCTCCTCCAAAGAATTGATCTCAAGTGGACTGATACCAGAACCCACATGTTACAAAAATGCTCAAAGCAACATAATACAAACTAAAATCCAAACCACCGAGTTTTGAGTGTTTAATGAAGATGCTGAATGGTGAAGTTGTTTACTCACAGGAATATCAACGTAATCATTCTAGCTCTTGAACCCCCCAACTATTCTGTTGGGTGCTTCATTCACCACCCCCTCTTTTGAATTTGATTTTCTTGTAATTATTCCTCACTTGTATTTCATTCCCAAAATTTGCTCATTTTTGGCAAGGAGTTTAGCTATTGTTTCTGTCATTTAGTCTGTTGTTCATCCATGCTATTTTCAAGTCTTGGCTTTTGTCCCAAGTGTTGATGTCCTCAGATGTTAAGGGGATCTAGATCTGTCTATCTATCTATCTACATATATATGTATTACTATATGCATGAATGCATATCTACGACCTTAATTTTAGGCACGTTTGTGAATATGTAAATGTATTCAAAGATGGATGTTTGGGTTTCTATTATATATATGTGAGCTTACAAATATGTGCACACTTATAAATATGTGTTTTTATATATGTATGTGTTGCATCTAAATGTTGCATGCAGAGGGAACATCCCTCTACTCCCTTCCTGGGAGGCAGCTATCTGTAGACAGGAGTCTGTTCTACTTTCAACTCTGTCATGCTAATGTGTGTGATTTAAAAGGCATCCTGGCATCATTATCACCTGTGTAAACCTGTGTAAATCAATATTTTATTGGGGAATTCTTCTGTGACTGTCTCTTTAATAAGAGACAAGAAATACCATGAAGAAAGTAAAAAATTACTGGGTTGAATGCTAATTTGATTTTCTTTGTCACGGTTTAGTCAATTAAATGTTATAGGTTATTGAAGTCACATTTGAATTACAATTAATATTTGGTAAAGTAGTCCTTTTATTGTAATATTAAACTTTGTTCAAAGGCAGAAAAGAGGAAAGAATATTTTTATGAATAACAATAGTTCTAAACTTGCCATTAACCTATTTTTATGCTATACATATTTTATGAAGAATTTGGAAATGCCTGGAATCTGCATGTTGCTGGAGCACAAAAATCACTCAGAACTTTCTTATACCCAGCCTCTGAAAGACGATTTTAGAAAATGAATGATAATATTTTATATCCTCACTGCAATAATGTCTTCTTTTGTTTTGCATATGACAATAAATTCTACCATTACGAATTTTTTATTCTTTGCTAAGCTCTTCTGAAATTTCTAGCCATCCTTCGGCATATAGAATAAGAGGGAATAAAGTAATGAGACAAACGAGCTATCTTTCTGAATTCAAGATCCTCTAACGTAATTAATAAACAGTTTGCATTCATTGGCAGATGGCTAGATTAGTAGATAGAGGAAATAGTTCCTAGTATCACTTTTACATCTACCTACCTTGTGATTTTGGCAAATTACAAAAATTTCCCCCTAAGTCTGGAGCTACCCAGCTATATTTTGTATACCTATTTTTCTGACATTTCAAAAGGAAGGTATGGAGTTCAGGAACTTAGAGGAGTAATTGGCATATGGTAGAGATTCTGTAAGTACTATTGAGTGGATAAAAGAGTTTACCATCCCTAACTTATTATGTGTTCATCAGTATGTCTCTGGTACACAGGCTTTTGTAAAGTATGTGGGGCCTTCCTGGTGGCACAAGGAGTTAGTTAAGTCTCAGCACTATGAAGCTTGGCAGACACTGCTGCACAAGTTCAATCCCCAGCCAGGTAGCTGACCCACATGGCCCAGCAGACCTCTCCTGTCTCGCCTGCTGATCTTCTCAGCAGTGTATCTCGGTAGATCTGCCTGTTCTGCTCTCCACTCTGTCTCTGTTTCTGTCTTATCCCCTTATACCTCTGGTCTAGATCCCAGTTCTTGTGTGCATAAATAAATAAAATAAATCTAAAAAAAATTCAATCCCTTTTTTCATTCACTTCACTAATAGATATTGATACTATGATTATCAAATCTAAACTGTGGTTTTAAAAATTAATTGGCCTGGAAGAATCTGGTTCCCCCTAGAATGCATGCCCATTTCTCAGTCTTAGCATGAATATATCACTTTATTAAACTATTTGCTTATTAGTGAACATTCTGATGGTGTCTAATTTCAGGGTTTTTTGGAGGATAAGTTTTTTTTAAAATAGGAGGAAAGACCAGTATTCTCCGACTCCAACTTTAAAGGATACACACACACTCCCACACATGCATGCACAGTGTTCTAACTCCCTGGTTCTCCTGTGTGGATACACCTTTCCCAGAGCAAGCAGGTTCCAGACACCCTGGGGGAGTCACCAATTTAAACAAGCTTCAGTAATGTGTCTCGTCATGTGTTGCTGATCTTGGCAAAGGAAAAACTTCATATCAGATAGAACTGAGAGATCTAAATAAAGCCTTTACCAATAGGAAAAGTTAGATTCCAAGCATCATCTGGGATTCGAGGTCAAGAATCACATCTGAGAAAGGGAAAAAGTGTGGAATTCCTGGGCTGAAAGAACCAGGGAGGATTCCAAGAGCATTTTCAGGGCCCTACATGGGCCAATTCTCAAGCTATTTCCCATTAAGTCTTAAACTGATAAAGACAGAGAGCTGGAGAGGGTTGCAAATCTCATTTTCTTTGGAAAGCACGCTTTGTCTTTTCAAGGATCACATTTCCTAGCAAATAAGAAATGATATTTTATAATAGAACTCATTCTTCTGTCTACTCTAAATCATCTTACTTAAGACTGGATAAAAGAATAGCGGCTTTATAAAGGGAAAAGAAAAAGAGGACCTTTATAAGCGTGCCCGCAGATGTGACCCTGCTCCCCCAAACCTAACATGTCATAGGACAAGAGCCTTTTCGTCCTTGCTGGACGCTGTGACCAGCTCCAAAGTCAAGTGACTCCAAATGAATACTTGGCCTCTCCACTTTCTTGTTTTAGCTGGTTATTTCCATGGGAAGTAAAGAGGTCACTGAGTTTTGGTGTGGCTTACAAACTTCTCTTTTGGCAAGGCAGTAACTGTTAATTTATGATTTAGTCATCGGGGAAAAATAAGGAGTCAAAGTCAAAAATTCAAGACGTGGCAAATGTCTTTCCTAATTGGTCACGACTGTTCTTCCAAAGTTATCATTTTCTGCTGTGCAAAATAGTCACGCAAAACCAATTATTTTGGTAAACAAAATGGCTTAGGCATTTAAGGCCTTTTCTTCTCTAAAATGTATAAAAGACAAGTTACTGACTACATTTTTTTTTTACACTTTCTTGGTCAATGCTTTTAGTTAGAACCTGCCAAGAGCAGCCTTGACATGAAAATTATTTGTTTTAAGAAAGAGAATATTTGGTTAGGTCTGTACAGAATAAATTTCTCTCAGTTATCTGAGTGGATGGAGTGGACCCTTAAAATTAATGCTGCATCAGAAATACCAGAGAATAATGGGAAACTATCTACTTGTACTCTAGTATGCTTTGCTGGCAGGTATTTTCACACATGTGAATTCATTCAATTCTTATATAACTTTTAAGAGATAGTCAGCATTACTTTTCTCCAACTATTATGCAAAGTGACCTGAGTTGTAATTAATACCAGACTTCTCATGAAGCATATTAAAGTTGTCCTGAAACCACCATATTTAGGGAAAATATTTTCATGAATTTGGAGTGTTGAAATGAGAATGTAATTTTCAGGGAGGTCATTTTTACATTTAAAAGTATATTGTTTGTTGATTTTTCCTAGAAAAGCTGATTTTGACTCTCGTTTCTATCTTAGTCTGGAGATAGTAAACATAAAAGTTGCAATACAGGCAGAAGGACCCTTACTCATTTAGCATCAAAAGAAGCATAGGTAACAGAAATCATCAGAACTAACATGATTTGTCCTACCGCCAAGGAGTATTTTTCTCAGCTGTAGCTGGAATTCATAGAGTGATTGTGTTTATCCAGCTATTATCCAAATAAGAAATCTTTGGAGTCAGCAATGAGAGAAACTCTTCCAGGATCTTTGGTTTTCTTTGTCTGTAAAAGCGAAAGAGGATAGTTAGGACTGCATGTGTGTGCGTTACATTCTTGGACAGGAACAGGTTGTGCTTTGTGTATTACATATCTTGACTACTATGAGTGAGTCGCATTAGAACCTATCTTTTACTCTCATAAAGTTGAAGTAGTCATAATAGGAAAACCAGAAACTTATAACATTGCAGATTTTAGTATATATGTATATATGTACTAAATATATATATATATATATATATATATATATATATATATTACCTTTTTGAAGACTAAGCCTTGTGAATCAGTAGAAATGCAGAGTGAGGGAGAAAGGGTGACTCTAAAAAACTGAATTGTTTGGATTGGGTTATCATGAGGGTTTACTTTATGGCCAGGAGAGACCAGGGTCAATCTCTAGCTCATGATAGGAACGCTTCTGGAAACATCCTAAATAGGTCATGCATCAATTTGACTGGGATTCCTGAAATTCTCCTCCTGTATTTCAGATACTCCTGCTGTTACACCAAGTATAGAATTTTAGGATTTGTGAGTAGCAGTGCACTGGCATGTTATTAATGCCGTCTTTATTCAATGTGGTAATCTTTCCTTTGGGAAAGCTATGTGAGTTGGTTTGTGTAGGATGGAAATGTAGAGGTAGACAATGCTTGGGAGTTAGAATTAAAAGCCAAAACAATCTGCTTGTTCTAGCTCCATGATTGTTACTTACTGTGTGAACTTGCACAGGTCACTGAGTCTCGGTTAAGTTAAATTCAATAACCACTTTTTTAAAAGATTTCTTTATTTTTATACAAGAGCTGGGGTACAGGCCAGAGGCGCGGAGGGTGAGGATTCACCAGAGACAGAGCGGGGAGCAGAATAGGCAGATGACCGAAATACACTGTTGAGGGGAGCAGCGGGTGAGACAGGAGAGGTCTGCCGCACCATGTGGGAATCTCCCTGGCCAGCAGGGAATTGAACCCCCACTGCAGAGGCTGTGGGTAGCTTCACAGCACTGCGTTCAACCCGCTGCACCACCGGGGAGGCCAATAACCATTTTTTTAAACATCCCCAAGATGTGTGGAGGAGGACAGGGTATTGGTAACTGGAAACTGGAACCCTCAGAAAGCAACAGGAGCTGAATCCAGTGAGAAGGGCTGGCAAGATTTTTCACTCCTACTGCTAACTCCTAAGACCCTCAGCTTACCTTCAAAGTTCTACTATCTTGGAGAATTTTAAGCACTATCACTTTCATAAGTCAGTTAGTGAGTGCCCAAAGACCTGCACTGTGCTGTAATACAGGTATTAATATTCTATAAAGTAGACTTGGCATTTATTTAATCCCAATTTATCTGCACATGGTCTATTAAAGTACAATAAAATACTATTTATGTGCATCTTGAAATTCATTACCCACTGGGTGTCAGGTCTCAAAAATCATAATAGTCTCTGTACTCTACATGGTGGCATCAACCAGTCAGCCTAGCAAGAAGAGCTAGCATGCATTTAAAGAACAGTAGGAGTTGTGTTTGGCAGCATTTGCAGGTGAATAGCAATCAATGGCCTAGAAAGAAGTTTCTTTTCTAGAAGGGCAACATTACATGAGACATCCTTTAAAAAATCTATTTAATTATATTAATGTATCCCTTAGTGCCATTATGAAGTTGAAACATGGTAATGATAATACAGCTAACATTTACCTAGGATTTTCTGTATGCCTCTTGAGTGGTGTTAAATTCTCACAATAAACCCACTGGTAGGTCATCTTGCCATCCTATAGATAAAGACCTGAGCCTGAGAAAGACTAAATGTAATGTTTAAGATCACATTTTGTCTGACATCCAGATCTGTGCCATCAGTCACACTTGTATTGAATCAAACCATTCAGCACAGTGCCACCAAGTAACAGGTGCCTGGGAAACATTAACCCCCTTATCCGCAAATTGGAATTAGATCTATAGTATTGATCCACAAAAACTGTGGTTTTCAAATATGCGTATGCAAGAAGAAATAAGATAAGGACATTGAAAGAGAAGGACTGGGTTCCCTGGCTGTTTCTAGCCATCGTGAACCGTGGGAACCTGGGTGGTTAATTAGCTTCTTGTGTCTCTTCTTTATCTCGTCACGTCATTGTGAGTAGTAGTAGGACTCAGAAATACCCCTGGTATATATTAAGTGCTCAGTAGAAGCTATTCTTATTTTTATCGTTGATATTATTATTTGACCATTCCCTCATCACTCCTGTCTACATCCCAGGAATGATGTCATAGTTTCTGTAATATTCTCTGTTTGGGCTTTATTGTGATTGCTGCATGAATGTGGTGTTACCAACTGCCCAGAAGCTCAGTAGTTTACAAAGCAAAACATGTATTTGTTTGTCATTCTTCAGTGAGCATGTCAGTAGCTGAAATGCTCCAGGCTGAAGGCTGGTCTCAAGTCTCCTCCAGTTCGTCCTTGTGCTCCCCAGACACACCAGAGTGTGAGAGGAAATGCTCGATGTCCTTTAGGCTGGCACTTGTGACCATGTATCATTGGGCAAAAGGAGTCATATGACCACACGCTGTGCCTGTCTGTCCTGTAGGAAATGCCCCACCAGCTCCTGCACGGTGCCGTGTAGCACACAATTTTAAATGACTTAAGAGACATACAACTGAGTCTCCTAGGGATACCAAGGAACAGATAAAATATTTGAAGAAATAATGGTTGGGGCCTCCCTGGTGGCTCAAGGAGTTAAGTCACAGCATTATGAAGCTATCGGCTGCCACTGCAGCAAGAGTTCGATTCCCAGCCAGGGAGCTGCCTCACATGGTGCTGCAGAACTCTCCCATCTCCCCACTGCTCCGCTCAGCAGTGTATTTCAGTAGATCTGCCTGTTCTGCTCCCCGCTCTGTCTCTGGTGAATCCTCTCACCCCCCACACTTCTGTCTACACCCCAGCTCTTGTGTGCATAAATAAATAAATCTTAAAAAAAATGAAGGCTGAAAAGTTTTCAAATTCAATGAAAACCTCACACTCATTAATCCAAGAGCTCAACAAACCCAAACAATAAGCAAAGACACCTGACAACAGCCGCCTGGAGGGACATGATAATCAAATGGCCTAAAACGTGTGGTAAAGAGATGCTTCACAGCGCATTACAGAAAACGGATGTTACATAGTGGAATAAAATATGGGGGACAGCAGATTTCTCTTTGTCCCTGAAAATCAGAGGACAGGGAAACACCACCTTTTCTACAGAAGAAGGAGGAGAAAACTATAAGCTAGGAAATCGATGCCCAGTGAAAGAGCGTTCAAAAAAGGTAAAATAAAAATCCTTTTCAGACTTACAAAAGAATTCATCGCCGGCAGACCAGCAGAAGAAGTAATGAGAAATCAGTCCACCAGCAATGGGAAGATGCTGCCTGCTGGAAATAAGGTTCTACACCCAGGACTGGAGAGAACCAGAAGTGGCCACGTCACTGGCCAGGATAGAAGGCGCTTTTCCCTTTTATTCAATTCTCTATTAAAAGATATATTCAGAGAGAAAAGGATGTAAATGCAAAGAAGACAAAAAAAGGATGAGCGACTGGAGAAGAATGAGATTAGGTGACTTTGGAAATGCAGCCTGAGAAATGGGGGGTGAGGGTAACTGGTGCAGCTCTGCAACTTGGGGTCCATTTTTTAAAAGTCTACACCTCTTGCAACTTAAAAACTTGATAAGCTATTTAAATGTCATGTTTCATATTGTAAAGTGATGGTAATTTTAATCATCCATGCTAATTGCTCTTCTGTGGCCTTATTACTATTCATGTATTCAGTCATTGCATGTTTGTTTCCCCTGCAGGGGTCACAGCACCCCCAGCTGCCACATCTTACTTTGGCTAGTTTTTCACCAAAAAAGTCAGTATCCTATGGACGTCAAGTGTCAGCTATTTTTTATGCTCTTTAAATTGTATCAGTGAAATGGGGGAAAATATCGAAAAATGCAAAAGTACTACCCACCTAGATTCTTCACATCAATATTTTATAATTAAATTTTCTTTGGGCTTTTAGGTACACAGAGTGATTTTGAGCATCTAGGTTATTTTTTTTTTGTGGTTCTCTCTTTATTAGGTAAGAATATCTGTGTTTAGAAGTGACTTAAGCACATAGAATTTTCACAAGTGAAATGTGTAGTTAAGCTACGAGGCAGGTGTTCTGATCCTGTTAGATTGCTCAAGCTAATTTGCAGCCATGTAAGGTCAGTTGCTGGGAAACGTGTGAGGAGTACAGGAAATTATATGGAGCCTGTTGATAACAGTTTGTCCTTGCACCGTGACCTAAAATAATACCAAATCTGCCACATTATGAACCCTCTTGGAAGCTTACCTTGACATCACTAAAAGAGGAAATGATTTAAAAATGATTTACAAATGATTTAAAAATACGGTTGTAATGGTGGTAAAGTTATAGATTGAACTGGCAATTATAGTCATAGTTGCAAAAATTAGGTTAGAGCAGCTTGCTTTTGAATTTTGGTAAATTCCATTTTGAAAATGTTTGTGAACTTTTGCTTTTTGGTTTTTTTTTTAGTACTGGAGGAAAAAACCTAAGTTAAGTGCTTTGCTAGGGATGAGCCATGCAGGCAAGGACACTGATGTACCGGGCACACTGATCAAGCAGCGTTCCCTGTGTCTGACTCATTGGTGAGAAAATAGAAACCACAGAGAGGTGGACCGAAGGTCTCGGTGTAAGGACTGCTAGCTTTGGGAACAAGGGAAAAACAAAATGTTTTCGTTTCAGGTGCTGTCTCAAGAGCACACTTGCAGTGATGGGAACATTCAATAGGGCTGATGTTCTAATTCAATTTAGCATGTACTTTCTGATGGACTAAAAGTTTGTGTCCACCTCCAGTCTCAAACTCCTGTGGGGAGGTGCTGACCCCCGACATGATGGAATTAGCAGAAGGGACCTTTGGGAGGTGATTAGGAGTAGATGAGGACCCTCCATGATGGAATCAGCGCACTTTCAGGAGGAGACCAACCAGAGCTTTCTCTTATTCTCTCATGTTTGCACCCAGGAAGAGAGTCCTTCCAAGAACCAAGTCTGCCCTTGGTTTCCCAGTTTCCAGAACTGTGAGAAATAGATGTCTATTGTTTAAACCACCTCCACTACCCTATTTTGTTATAATACTAGCTGACTCAGACATAGCTGCCAAGCACAGGGTCTTCCTTAGCAAAAGAGTTCAGTCCAGCCCTGAAACCAGTGAAGCCAGGGCATTAAAATAATGTGCATACAGTGGTGTGAATAATCAGGGGAGAAACTTTTCGTTCTGTCCAGGGTTATCACCTAGGAGGTGCCTTTCCAGAGGGATCTTGAAGAATGAAGGGATTTGTATCCTTGGCTTCACAAGGGTAAGAAATCATAAATAAGCACAGAGGGGAGGCTAAACCACAAATAAATGTACTGAAAAATATGGCAACGCCAACAAATGCAGGCCCCAAGTCAAATGCAATAGCTCTGGCTTTGTTTATCTCCTTGCTTCAGATGTGAGTCTGGCAGGTCTACAGAGAGAGGAAGCAGAGTCTTGATCATTAGAGAAATCATCCCTGAGAAATAAGTTTTTCTGCTGATGAGCCGGGAATCCTTTCTTGTGTCCCCAGAATTGCCCAAAGCCCAAGACAGTTATTTATATTTAGTAGAGACCTCTAAATGCCTTCTTCCTGCTGGCTCCCTTGTTTCTGTGGTTGACTAGCATGTTGCCTGTCTGTGAGCTCTTTGTAGGTTTCTAGGTGAATCATTTGGCTGAAAACTCTATAGGAGTGATTTTTTGTAAAGGTTCGAGTGACTTCTCTGCTATATAATTAGCCAGGGCTTTATATCTCCAGCTTGTAAATATGCAAGTTACTGTGAGGGAAACGTGCTTTACTTTTGTCCTTCATGAAATGCTTTCTGGTTCTGTGTCTCTGATGAAAGGTCGTGAACAAAGTGCATTGGTCTCCCTTGCAGCCACACGGCTCTCCCAGGTCAGCCAGTGGTGCAATTTGTCAAGGTCACACTCTGCTTCTTTCTGACCCTTCCTTGGACCAGCTTACCCTCCGCATCCCTGCAGCAAATTACCTCTTAAAGCTAATAACTTTCACATTTCTGCTTTCGTCTCATGAGGAAGATTGCCTCAGCAGGCCTAACAGGTTAAGTTTTATTCTTATCTGAAGGGATTACGGCAGAGGCCGAACAATTCTTCCTCCATTACACCTGCCATTTTCTCATGTCACACCTTCCTTGGGTGGTTTTAAATGTTTCCTTTGCATTTATTGAATTTATTTTTTTAAAGATTTATTTATTTATGCATACAAGAGCTGGGGTACAGGCCAGAGGTGCAGGGGTGAGAGTATTCACCAGAGACACAGTGGGGAGCAGAAAAGGCAGATCTGAAATACTGTTGAGGAGAGCAGCAGGTGAGACAGGAGCAGTCTGCTGTGCCATGTGGGTAGTTCCCTGGCCTGGGATTGAACTCAGGCTGCAGAGGCTGTGGATAGCTTTATAGAGCTGCGACTTAACCCCTTGGCCACCAGGGAGTCCCTGTTTCCTTTGCATTTAAATTGATTGATGAGATGACAAAATCTGAGTCACCTGGATGAATATTGCCTTTATATGAAGATCCTGGAACATATTCAGTGCCTTCTTTTTGCAGTTCAGCTGTTTCAAATCTATGACTATATTTGTGGTTGTGCTCAACCCTTATTCATTGAGGGGGTGATTTTGCTATTTTTGGAGCAAAGGGAAATAGAATAAATGCCGTGTCTTTTAGAGTCCAGAAATCCATTTGGCTCAATGCAGCTGACATACTTTATTGCAGTTTTTAGGCCTCTTTGTAATTTACAGTGGATACTAATTTCCTGCCCAGGTTTCTAGTGGCAGCTTCCATTGAGTGGGAAGGGGGCCGGACTGGCAGCATTATCTGGGGGCCGGGCTGGAACAGCCCGAAGGGACAGCCAGCGCTCACTGTGTATCTTCCTCCACCCCTCTCCCCCCAACTTCTCGGGGGGCCACCCCTTTTCTTTGCCTTTCTTTCCCCAGAATTCTTTGGAGCTTGAAAGGATGAGATTTTATTTTACTTCCCCTTCCTGTGCTCTCCTGGGAAATCCACTATGTAAATTATTCAGATTAAATTCACCAGCCTCAGCTGTTGGTAAGTCAAAAGGTAACCACCACAGGAATTTAGAAGACCCTCTCTCTTGGTGGATCCTGGGTCTTAGATTATTGTCTTGTGGTACAATCCTCTCTCCATATGTTAGAAGGCGATTTTTAAATCTTTCTTTTTGCCTGGCTTCCTTAATAATCCCAAACTTCTTCATCCCCTTTCACCCTCCAAGTTCAAATGAAGTTCAGGCTGCCTAAATCTAAATGCACTTATCAAGAAAGCAATAATAGCTCTGCTCTGGCATTTACTGCAGTCAATGTCAAAGCTTCCGGGAGTAAATCCTTTTCCTAATATACTAAATGCACAAATAAGTAAATAAATGAATGTGCAAATGAGTGGAAGGGGAGGCAGAGAGGACAGATTTTTTGGAACGAGCCAATTTCAGGTCATCCCTAGAAATTTCCACCTTTGACTAATAGGGGTTGATTTTCAGAGCAAGGAAAATCTTTAGTTTGAGTAGTTCATAAATAAAAGACCAGTTGACTTCCCTAAACTTCTTACCTGGGGAAAACAGAGCTCCTGCCTTTTGATATTTTACCCTCTGTTCCAATGAATTCATAGAGGATGATGAGTCTAATGAAGGCTGGGGAAACTTCTAGAAGATGCCAGCTTTCACTTACTTTTTGAAAACAAAAAAACATTACGCTCTTTTTCATGCAATCACTTTAGTATGTCTCATGTCACCTACTCTTCATCATGCTTCTCAACGGTGCAGTCAGTTGTGTTTTGAGAGTCTTTGACTAAAATTGGCAAGTCACAGCCATTAATGTGGCCGGGAGTCCTTCTGGTCTGGAGGTGGTGTGGGGGGAGAGACATCTGCATCCAGCCTCTTGGTCTAGGATGCGCTTCAACTACACACCCCTCTCCCCCAGTGCTGAGTGAGTGGGACCATCATCACCCATTCACCCTGCCAATGTGTTTTGCACATCTGTCCTCCCCATCACCCAAAGATTTATTCTACATGCCTGATGGCAAAATGTGCTTGCACCTGAGGGACTGAGGCCCACGGAACATCCATCTCATCTTTCTTTGACACAAGTCCATTAGCTTCATCTGTCTCGAGGACAGTCCTGACTCAGAGCTGAACTGATTTTTCTTCTTTGGGGACCTTTTAGAATTTCAAGGTCATAGAAAAATTGGCTTTGTGCAAAAACACGTTACCATCTGTTGCTAGTTTCTAATCCCAGATCCTTTTAGGAGATTTGCCAGGACAGCTTTGTAGAGATGTTTTAACTAATGATATTTCTTTCTACTTGACCCCAGAGCACATATTTAGGCTTATCCTTCCAATCTCATTTGCCTAAGTATCCTACTATTTAGCTGGGGTGTTTATCTGCCACTTCTGTGATAAGAGATCATCTATAGCGTGTGTCTATTTGGCAGTCATAAAATAATCACGCATATAAATAGCCAAAAAGCAAGCAGGGGATTTAAATTCATTTTTCTTTTTTAAGGAGAAATTTAAAACCCAGAGAGCTCCTGTGTCTTCCTATTAAAGTCTCAAAATTAGCTCTCCTTGCAGATGAAATTAGCCTGCAAGTGATAAATCAACTATAATACTGAAGTTTTGGTGATCATCCATTTATTCCTCCAGTTTTGTTTGATTCCTTGATTAATATATGATTCTTTAAAAAGGTATATTATTTTTTAGTAAAACTTTGAAAGGAGCTTAAAAAATATGAGTCTCTGCTCAGAATATGTAATTACATTAGCCTGTCTCTGTCTTTCCTCTCTCCTCTCTGCATACATCCCACAGATACACCACACACCTCTATAAAAATTAATATATTTATATATTCTATATTCTGTTCTGTGATATTATATTATATATGATTCATGTGTACTTTCCCATTAGTCCATATACTTAGAATCAATAGGCTCTCTTCTAAAAATTTATTTTTTATTAAAATTTTTTTGTTTTCTTCTAGAAATTTGCTCTAAGCAAATAATTTAGAAGGAAAGTAATACATGAAGATGCTTAAGGCATTGGTGCCAATAATACAAAAAGCTTTAGGCAAATTATTTATCCAACAGTATGAAATAAATTATAGTACACTAACAATGCAATAACTTAGGGTCATTAAAATGACAAGTATGAAGATTTAGGATGAGGGCATTTGATAGGAAAGGCTAAAAAGTCAGAACAACTATTGCATACCTCCCCCCTTGCAAGTCTGGGAAAGTCAGCATACAGACCAACAGCGGCGACTGTGGAATATTCACAGGGAGGTTGGTGAAATGACTCAATGGGTTCCCCCCCCTACTTTTGCATTTTTCTCTGATTTAATATTCCCAGCCAGTCAGGGAGGATTCAGACTCCTCTGCTGGTGTTGGGTCTGTAAATCAGTGAGGACAGCATACAGGTGCCGACTATTTTCATTCCTTAATTTCAATCCTACATTCCAATCCTTATATTCCAAATAAATAGGCTTTTTAGAGACTGTTGACGATAAGAGGGGCTCCAAACTACATAAGTAGCAGGAATAGAGTTCAGGACAACCCCCAACTGTTGACAACATTTAGTGTCTTCCTATCACTTGAGAACCCTGGGAACTGAGCTCCCTATCAGCATAACCAGGAAGCAGTCCCCCGCCCAACTCTCTTTCCAGGCCCTGGGACATGACACCCTAACTCGCGAGTTAGGAGTTACGTCCTAACCCATGATGTACTCACCTCTTCCCAGGCAAACATTTCCAGCCCACGGTCCCGTCAACAAGTCGTCACCGCCCTCATGCATCCTCTCCAGCCACTCAGAACTTAATGGGCAGAGGGTGCTGCTCCTCCTGTGGGTGCAGAGCCGCTGGGTACACACTTCACCTGCTGGAGAGGGAGCTAGCAGAGGGGAGAGTTTTTTCATGCAAATGACTTTGGTACTTGTCAAAGCCCGAAGGAGGGGCTCACGGCCACTGCGCAGCCTGGCTGGGGGGTGCAGGAGGATCCAGGGGGTCTTCACTTGGACCTGGTGGCATTTCATGGTCTGGGACATGATTTGGAATCAGCTTTCCTTTTGGACAGTAAACTTACCCAGCTCAGCTCCTGTCACCAGCATCACCTCTGTCTTTACACGATTCCAGGTAGAAGGAATTCATCGAGATAACACAATGTTTTATGCTTGAATTGTGTATTTCATTACTGAGTGGGACATTTTCAAAAGTATTCATTTATCTTATCTTGTTTTCTTAATACGCTGTAATTTAGCCTTAATCTATTCCAACTATTTATCCATCTGCAGATGTCCCAGCCCCATTTTTATTTCCTAGTCTCTAACTCCCCAGTTACTATTTCTCACAAAGCATTTCTACTGGAATGATTTACTAATATCTGAAAATCAGCCCATTGAAGTTAGGGTTCAAAACCCTAACTTTTGCAAAACCACAGATAGTGCTCAGTATAGAATTTCACACTCTAATCAAATCCAGTTTCTCCAAAGGTAGATAAGCCCCGGTGGGGACCAGCTCTGGGCTGGGAGTCAGAAGGCACTGGCTGGGCTTTCTTCTGCTTAGCTCAGCTCTGTCATCCAGCAAATCATTTAATCCCTCATATTTCAGACTCCCTGTCTGCAAAGGAGTGGCCTGACCTACACCTTCTTCAAAGCCTCTTGAAGCTTAAAAATTCTGGTTCTATGATTTTAATATTTAATAATACAATGTAATTGTGCTTGCATTGCACGCTAGTTCGACACAAATCATAAATGGCTCCCAATAAATGGTTGTAATTATAACCTGCAGAGAAAAAAAAATCTATTTTTCAGTCTTTCCTCACTTTATTGGGTTTTCCAATACCAATATCCATGGCTTTGATTTTCCCTGGAAATCATGCATCCTTTATCATTACCATCCTCAACTTCTTCCTCCCTGTTTTCATCATTATCGTTGTGGTCACAGAGGGACCATACACGGAGACCATTATGGGAAATGTCTCTCTAACACCACGATCCTCCTGTTCTCATCCCAAGGTGGGTGGTCCATAGCCATATACTCTACCCTTATCCAGTGAAGATACTTTAGCAGAAGCTTCCTCCCCTATCTGGACGAAGGTTCCTATCCCAGCTCAGAGATGTGCATGGAATATTTAAGAAAACAGGATCTATGAATCCAGAGCCTGGGGCAGGAGGTGGAGAGGGTTGTTAGGGAAGCACAGTTGCATCTCTGCAGTCCACATTCCAGCGGGGTTAGCCTTGTTCTCTGGGCTAGATAGATAAAACCTGGCAGATCTGGGAAGAATCTTAACTGCAGTTTCTTCTGGAATCAAAATGAAAAAGGGCGTTAGTCTGGGAATCAGGAGGAGGGATGGGGGATGGGAGCAGAGGTTACATAATGAAGGACCCCTGCCCACCTAGAAAGGAAAAAAAAAAACATAAACCCCACAGGCTGCACTTCTGGGCAGCTCTGCTGAGATTGCCGCTGCCTCTTGCTGGGTTCTGTCCTTCTGCTCCCTAATAAACATTGTTGCTGCCTTTATGCTGGTGCTTCAGGCATTTCTTTTCTTGAGAGACACCAAGGACCCTCTTGCTGTGGTGCCCAACAGGTCTGAGCATGGCGCCTGGGGGTCACCTGGCAGGGAAGCCTAGCAAGGCCAGGCACCCAGGAACAGGCAGACTCAACATCCACAGTGGGGATGGTCTGGAGACTGCCCAGTTCCCAACTGGGAGGGAGGCCTGGTTCCAGGTGGGCTGGAGAGGCTTGGAATGAAAGTCCTGGAAGCAGCTTTCTGGCTCTGCAGTGGATGCCCCTGGCAAGCATCACACTCACTGTCATAACTAACACCAACGGACCAGCACAGCTGTGCCAGGCGTTATTGTGTCTACTGTCAAAGGCTTATTTTATCCTTCACATATTGCTTGTAGGTGAATGTCTTTTTAATCCTTACATCATAGGCTAAGAATCAAAGAACTAGAGGGTTTAGAAAACGTGGATTCAGTCATATGGGTGGCAGATGACAGAGCCACCGCTAGGAAATGTATGTTTTAGGCACAAAGAGAAGACTTTTTTGGTATTCTTTTGTTCAGATTTATTGTGCCTTTTTTTTTTTTTTAAATTGAGCAAACATTGATTTATAGCACAGTATGTGGTTCAGAGGTAGAGGATCCCACCTCTTCAGATGTATGTTGTCACACCAGAAGACATTTTTCCTACTTACCTCACAATATCCCCCCCAAAAAATATCTAATTGTGAGACTTTTTTCCTACTGAGTTGGGCCATACTTTTTTAAATCTTTTTTTTAAGATTTATTTATTTATGCATACAAGAACTGGGGTACAGGTAAGAGGTGTGGGGGTGGTGAGAGGATTCACTAGAGACTGAGTGGGGACCAGAACAGGCAGACTGACTGAAGTACACTGCTGAGGGGAGCAGCGGGCAAGACAGGAGAGGTCTGCTGCGCCATGTGGGTATCTCCCTGGTTGGGGATCAAACTTGTGCTTCGGAGGCTGCAGACAGCTTCATAGGTTGCGTCTTAACCCCTTGCGCCACCAGGGAAGCCCATGGGGCAGTACTTTTAAACCAGTGTTACGGCCAAACTCCCTCAGGGAAGCAGGCATCACTCAGAGAGGAGGAGGAAGATCTTTACTCTGGCAGCGGCCTGTGCAATGGCAGGCCCAGAGGTGATTTCTCTCCAAAGTCTGAACCCCAGTCAATTAGGTTATTTACTGACAAAAGCAAGGGCTACAGTCATCTGGGAATGCATGAATCAGGGTGCATGTGGCCTTGAGGGCGCTTATCAGCTGTTCCCTGAAACTTTCAGTCTCCAGGCTATGTCCCAACTTCAGCTCATCAACAGGTCAGCCTGACATTTTCCACTTCACCAGGAAGGCACAAGACTCTGAAAATTCATGTACTTGGGCAAATGAGGCCAAAAGTGAAGCTGGGAATCAAAGGAAAACTCTGAGTCTTCTTGGAGCATTTGTCTGAGTCAGGGCTTCCTGTCCTGTGTGGCCTGGGATTGGCCTTCCTGAGCGAGAAGGCTGCTCCCTACCCCCGCCCCACGTGGGGTGACACCCCCTCCCCTTCAGGCAGGCCCTTTGAATGACCACCGTGTGATCTCTAGAGAAATTACCTGGAGATCAACTCTGATGCTAAGGAGTCCTTGAGAGAAATAGTGTTCAAATCCTTTTCAAAATCATTCACCTGAATTATATTTTGCTTTCAGGCAGGGACAACATTCCCTGCTGTAGGAGGCGCAGATGAATGTTCCTGACCTTGGATTTAATGCTGTGACAGTCTCAGTGTTGGGAGGGGGGCAGGGGCTGCTCCTGCCAATGATTTTACATCAGTAGCATCTGATTCTATGGTAGGGTTTCATCACTAAAGTTTTCCTTTCAATCCAATGATTTGGTGCTTCTGAGGTCCACGTTCTTATATAATATATCTGATCTATCAGTTAAAATTTGTAGTGAACGTTTTCCCTTTTAATTTAGTTCTGAAAAAAAAAAAAAAAAAAAGCCCCGTGCATGCACCCTCCTGGGCCTTCCCTGGGGGTGTCTGTCCCTCCCCTGCCTGTCCCCTGGCATCCCCCTGGCTGGCCTCTGCCCACGTGTGCGGGTGAGAAGTCCCCATGGCTGCATCCCCTTTGCAGATGTGAACAGGCTTTTAATTTTAACCAGTAAAATAGGATGTATAGCCAGGTCTGTTAAAATAATCTGAACAGCGTAGCTTAGGAGGCATAGTTTTCCGTAGACACATATTATAACCTTTTTTTGTGTGTATAAATTTGTTTGCTTCCCCAGCTCATGTGGTAAGGGTGCTGTCTGTGTGGACTTATGTCTAGGGATCTGAAGGCTGCTGGTTTCTTCTGTAGCTCCAGTTCTGCTTACTGAAAGTGGGTCATGAGGCCCCCCATAGTCTGTGAGGTGCAGGATGTATTGTATCGGCAGCTTAGGGCACTGCCAAGGAGATTGCCTGACTGTGGAGGTTGCGGTTTTTTTTTTTAATGGTTTTATGGGGGGCAAAGAAAGTAAACCGTTTGCTAGTACTATGTGTTCTCTTCTTGAAGTTCTTTATGTCCATATTTTCCCTTTGGCTTTTACCATAAAATGTCCCAACTCAACTATGGAATTAGGTCAAAGAGAACAAGAAAAGTCATCTAGAGGGGTCACTTTGGCATGGACACTATGTTCTCGTGTGGTCCCTGTCCCCTTAATGGGGGTCCCATGAAGACTTTGGCAATGGATTTTTTGACTTATCATCAGATGCCCACGAAGGGATCAGTCGTGGATGACCTTGAAAAAGGGGGAAAAAACTCCATGTTTGAAAATTTTCCTAACAATAGTTGGGGAAAAGAGAAAGTAGAAATGCAGGAGAGGCTCAGCTTAGGTTCCCACGTCGCCTAACTTGCTCCTCAAATAGAATTCTGTGCCTGGGACACGTTCCTACCTTCTGGTGCTTTAGCTTCGTCCCTGGCTTAGGCCTCGGTGCTCCATCCTCTCGGTTTAACTTTCTCTATGGGCTGAGTCTTTCTCAGATGCCATGCACTGCCTCTGCAGGCATCTGGTGGGCCAGAGGGTTCCCCCCTGCACCCCCCGCCATTCTCTGAGGTCTCTCAGGATAAACCATTAGGATAAAGACAGTAAATTCAAAATAACCCTTACCAGGTTATTCAACTAACTAATATAGCTCCAATAAAATGTGTCCTGAAGACTCTTTATAAATGGTTTTCTCAAACAGCTGCAAACAGAATCCATTGGATTCTTTTTTCTAACAATGAGTTTAATGTAGTGAAATGCCTGCTGACCGATATTGGAAATGAAAGTTTCATTTATAAGGATGCAGTTAAAGCATCGCCAAGTTAAAAATGTCATGGTGCTCTTTGTCACTGAGGTTCGTTATGCTGTATTATTATATTTGCATGAATCCTTCTTCTAGGGAGCTTAATGTTCTTTCTGCAGATTAACCAAGTGCCACAAAATTCTTGTGAGATTATTATGCTTCCAAATTACAGAGAAATTAAAAATCATTTACTAATTAATCCTTCTGAATCTCACAGAATTCAGGAGAACTCAATCCACTTTTTCCATTGGAAAAAAAGTTTCCCTTTTCTGAGGTTTGATTATTGCATTTCCCCCTCAGTCTCTTTCATGTCACTGACTCATTAATGCACAAGTGACATCCTGGTAGGGGATGGCATTTCACAGGCTTCCAACAGCTTTTTCCGAGCAAACAATAGCCAAGACTGCTTGGACACATACATAAATCCTCCGGAGCCCCGTGTCAGCACAGGGGTCAAATGGACTCTAATATCCAGTCTGAAAGTGCCATGGATTTTTTCAGGACAAAAGGAAATAAAGCTTGTTACCCAGTTAAAGTCACTTATAGTTTATCTAACCTAAATTTCCTGTTTTCTCTTGACAGTAAATATTCCTAAAATTAGTGAAATGTTATATTTAAAAAGCAGAGTGACATGGACTTGTGGTTATTAATATCTTACCGGCACCCCCTGTTCTGTTTCACAGCAGGGACAGAGTTTGGTTTCACTTGGGTTCACCTCGTGACTCCTACTACTTGACTTGAAGTCTTCGGCCTCGTCTACCTGGCCTGTCTTTTAGGTTCTGGAATCACTTCTAGGAAGAATTCAAGTAGCCTGGATCTGGTTATGCTTCTGGAGGGAAAGAGAGCAAAACAGGGGGCTGGGGAGGAGTCTTTTCGCAATCCATGGTCTTTCCATTGCAGCCCAGTCTTCTGGAAACCTCTGGATCACTCTCCCCTCCTGCAAGTCACAGCAAGGGCTGACCATAGTGTGGTGAGTTGTCAGGCTGTGCCACCTTCTAGCGCCAGGGCAGCCAACCCTACATGGCCAGCTCATCCTCTAGTCCTGATGTGATTTCATAGACATACCACACACTTATAAAGATCCCCAAACTACTGATGCTTATGACAGCACCTGTCACACGAGTAGGATAATTACTTTAAGCTCTTAATAGTCTTTAATTTTTTTTCCTGCATCTTTTTAATTTTTCTTTTTTTATTTGAATATTTTATTTTATATAATTCTTACATCTTTTTTCATCTTTGCACAATGTATGCATTTTCATTTTGGTTATATTCCCCATACAATTGCACCTCCCCCCTTATTTTGACTCTAGTCCTTCCTTTCCCTCCCCCTCCCTCCCCCCCCCCCAGTGTGTCTCTGGTTTATAGTTGCTTGTTGATTTTGATTTTTACTTTGTATTGATTAGTCTTTTTCCTGGTCTCTTATTTAGGTTTTCTAAATTCCTGCTATGAGTGAGTCACTAATAGTCTTTAATTTTTATGTAAATTAGTATTTTTATAATCCAATTTAAGAAAGCACGTTGCTTATTAAAACACAGATTAAGAAAACACATTAAACCATGTATGGCAAATGAGTTACAAGAAGGTTCAGCTCTTATATCCACATATAAGCCCAGGAATTGGAATGTGCCTGCACCAGAAGCCCTGTGTCCCAGGAAATCTGCCCTAACTCTTCCCCTTCAGATGTGATCATTTATTTCTACACTTCCTGGACAAGCACTTATGGGTACCTGCCACACACCAGCCTTTCTCCCCCACCTGAAATGTCTAGAGTGGCATTTCAACTCCCTAAGATGCAGCTCTGGGAGGATTTCATTGTTTGGTCTGCAAATCATTCCCAAGCACTGCTAGAGATATGCTGCTTTGATGACCTGGGCACAGGTAGGACACCCCTACAGCGTTTTTTAATAAAAAGTACTAAATAAATACATTTTTATTGATATTTTTACTATTCAGTGCCTTGTGTTGGTATTTATGAGACAAATATGAATAGACCACAAAAATTTGTTTCAACAAAGTTTGTAGTCTAAAGGCAATGGACATAATGCAAAGGAAATGTTACTAATAAAAATGCCAAAGGCTTTTTTTCCTCTAAAAATGCTCTTTTTCTCATTTGCCTGGTTACAGTGTTTGCAATAGAAGGAGGAAAATGATTTGGGGTGTTTCTTTTCTCCCTTAGTCATTTCTGGGAGAGAAGAGAGAATGAGGCCAGGTAAATTGGTTGGTCCTCAGTCGTCATCCGTCGTCACCCTGCCATCTCAGCTTGCACACTCTAACCATTTCCTGCCTCTAATTTAAATGCGGTGCTCCTGGGATCATATGTGTACCCAACAAAGCCACATCGATCGGGAGAGGTTTATTCAAGCTGGCATAAAATTTGAAACAAGTGCTATTTTCAACCAGCCAGATGTCATATTTGGTGAAAATAATTATGGGATAATCAATTTGAAAGCATCCAGTGTCTCACCATACTGTGAAATTTGGGAAGGTGAAAACCAGGAGTCAGGCAGGAGAATCCAGACAATGGAAGGCTAAAGCTGTGTGCTTAGCTCCATGTATTCTTTTTCCTGAACGTGTTGACCTGCTTTTCTTAAGATGATCTGTTGTCAGGGTCAGCAATGGAGGTTGTCATCTGCCCAACCACGTTGGAGACGTTGGGATGTAGTAAGGACCCTCAGGATCTTCTCTCCAGAAAGGGCTGTTGGATCTGTGGGAGAAATGGCAACAGGAACTTGACTTGATGGTCATAAAGCAGGGAATGTGAGCTATTATTCTGAAACAATGAAGGAAAATACACCACATTCTTACCTTGGAGTCTACAGTCAAGGAAAGACCTCAGGGCCAGTCAGGAATGTGTCCTCTGGCTGGCTGGATGACCAGTTCTTGCTCATGGTTAGTAGACAGCAGGCCTTTGATGGACATAGACAGGCAGCTCTGAAATGACCTGCAGCGTGGCCTTCAGGGGAGTTCCCCTCCAATTTCTCAATAAATGAGGAGACCCTAGAAACAATGGTTATCAGAGGGGACCAGGGGTAAGTTAATTGTATTAAAGGAGTCAATGATATGATGGAGGACAGAAACTAGATTTTTGCTGGAAGCTGCAATGTCATAGTTATAATGCTGCCCACCTGAACCCTATGCAATATTGTAAACTGATGTTACTTCTAAAATTTTTTTAAAAAGATAGTAAGAGCACATTGTAATTTTATATACAAATACCATGAACTAATGAAGCAAATGTTTGTGAATTTTTTAAATACCTGTGTCAAAATTTTCATCAAGATGAAATAGCATTTTCATCAAAATGCTATTATCTTTATATCGTGAGTTTTCTAATAAACATTTTCACAAATTGATTTTTATAGATAAAACTATACATGGCCTGTGGAATTTTGTCACATGGCCAGGGAATGCTGGCCATGGTTCAATGCTGAAGCAGAGATGTCGGATGAGCTTTCCACCGTAATCAGAAGCCTTTGTCCCTATTTTGCAGGAAGAGAATTTAAAGAAGTCAAAATACATAGCTGGTTGATTGACTCATGGCTTAAACTTGCCTTTGTAGCTAGCTGCTCTTCTGTCTTGTCTATGTCTAAAGTGAAAATCTACCTGGAGGGTTTCTATAATGTACATTGCACTTGGAGAAAATGGCATCTTCCCATAATGTCAAAGTTAAAACAGCATCGTACAGCCTTTTTGCACAATTACGGGTAATTCTACATAAAATGGAAGAAGGTAAGGACAAAATAGAGTGTTCACAAGGTCATCTGCCCATGAAGTACTTAATATTGGGGCATTTTGGATGTCCATGCTGTGTTTTATGCTATTTCCAAATCTCAAGCTTTTTCTACTTACTTATTATAAACACTTAAAGCATAGACCTTCACAAAAGGCCAAAATTAATAGTATATTCACACAAAGCACATACACTGGAATGATAATTCTCCCGTTAGATGGATTCTTAGTAGAATGGATTGTCAGTAGAAGTGACTAAAAGGATATTTGTGCTTCTCTTCAAATCATGTGCTTTGGCAATCAAAGAAAACAAAGACTCTAGTAAAAGAGTATGAACATGAATGCCGTTTTTACCAATTTCTAGAATGTTTTCTGAGTGCCTGCTATGGATTAGGTGTGTACATCTCTTAAGAACTAGTCTGGGCCTCCCTGGTGGTGCAAGGGGTTAAGCAGCACACTGTGAAGCAATCTGCAGCCTCTGCAGCACGAGTTTGATCTCCAGCCAGCCAGGGAGCTACCCACATGGCGCAGCAGACCTCTCCTGTCTCCCCCGCTGCTCCCCTCAGCAGTGTATTTCAGTCAGTCTGCATGTTCTGTTCCCCACTCTGTCCCTGGTGAATCCTCTCACCCCCCACATCTCTGGTCTGTACCCCAGCTCTTGTATGCATAAATAAATAAATCTTTTTTAAAAAAGAACTCATAGTCTGGCAGAAGATAAAAATGAGTGAATAAAGGACTGTAGCACAATATGAGCTATTTAAGAGACAGGTGTTCTGTGGAGGAACTCTAAGTAGGTAATGACCAGCTGTGCTGGAGGATTTAGGGAGGAATAATGAGTAAGGATATTTTGAGTAATGGATATTTTAAAAATAATATTCATTATTTTATCAATCTTTTCAGAGTGCCTTAGTGTATTTCAGGCTCTGAATTTGGTGCTGGGAATACAAGGGTGACTACACATAACTCTCAGGAACTACAAAATGTCCAAGACTTTTACCCTCCTTGTAAGCTAGCAAGTTAGCTTGGTGGTTCCATGGGTGCTAACAAATACACGAAACTCCTGGGTCAGAGACAAAGGAGTTTATTCCCCATGACACAGCAGGCAGCGTAAGTTTCACATTCATATCAGCTCTTGCTAGTCACTGTGGGAATTGCAATGTGATTGCTGAGCACATTCATCTGAATTCATATTTTCTTCTTCTTCACAAAATCTTACTATTTTTTCTTCTAATTTACTTGTTGCATTGAAATTTTAGATTGTATTTCCATTTAGTTTTTACATAGTTCTTTTTGATTAATGAAAATGACTTTTGATTTGTATTTACTTTGTATTTTCTACTACAATTTTATTATTTCACATGGTCATGCTCATATAACCTTGCTTTTTCTTCATAAATATCTCAGTGTTATCTTTCCTTTGGTTTGATGTTAAGTTAGATTATTGAATGTATTACTCAGGTTTACTCATTTTAAGCAGTTCATTTTCTTTGTTTTCTTCCCCTGCTTTTATTAAGACTTTGTCCTCTCATATTTCATTTATAATATGGGCTTACTTATTTCCATTCTTTTGTTTTTAATTCATAATCATTTAACACTTATAGATCACTGATTTGTCAGCATGCATATGAGGCCACATGGGATTTGGGATATATCTCACAGACATTCACATATGCAAACAGAATACTTGAAACCCGTGAGTCTTAAGATGGCATTTTTGCCCCGCTCTGTAGGTTTCTGTACACAGGGAAATCGCCTGCTTCTTTGCTCAGAAGGGAGATTCTCCAAAAAAAGTTAAATAAAGGATATAGAAGTTCAACAATGTAATGTATATTTTTTCTTGTATTTAATGTTAAATGCAAAACATCATTCTTATAGAAGGAAATACAGTAGTGCATAAAGAAAGAAGTTGAGAGACCCTCCACCCCCACCCATGTCCCCTATTCACTGTAGTAAGTTAGCCATGTTCTGAATCCTCTGTTGCTGCCCCGGTCTCTGGCAATGCCCGCAAGAGCATGATCTAGGGCTCTATCTTGGCCTGAAGGACCGTTCCTAGTCACAGTTCCATCCTCTTCCTGTTGCTGATACCCCCAGAGGCAACTGTACCACTGAATTACCCAACCACTGAACCCACGGATGGAAGCAAATTGGGGTGACAGCTTTCATTGTTCAGGGACTATTATGCTGAGGACAGAAAAGAAACTGGACTCACTGGGAATAAGTTTGGAGATTTGAAGTTTACCTTGGCAGCAAAGTCCCAGTGACTATTTTTTAGCTGCATGTCAGCCCTAGGAAGAGAGTGCTGCAACAACATGAAAGAGATCTATTAGCAAGAGGCTTAGCTACTTCTGAAGAGGTGGGTTTTCCTACCAAGTGAGTATTCTCTTGATGATGGGCCTACAGTAATGTGCTCGACATGGAACTAACCTGAGGATATTCACATGTCCTCAAATGGACTGGGCACTGCTGAGCTAAACAAGACCTTCCTAATGTGTTGAATCTTTCTTCTTGGTTTGATTTTTTTTTTTTTTTGATGAAATACCAGGAGGCATAACTATCTACTTTCATATACCTCCTGTGACATTGCTGATAGAAGAAGTGAAAAACTTATTCAGTGGCTAAAGACAAAACTAAAATGCCATGGCCACAACAATGGGATCAATTTCTAGAGAGAACTGTGTCAATAGGTCTTTGATGGTTGGCATTTCTATCACAGCCTCTGTGAAAGGACACAAGCAGCGGGTAGCAGGATGATGGGAAGATGCACCAAACCTTCAGGGTAGGGGACAAGGAGTGTGCACAGGCCAGCAGGGAAATTTCACAAAGCAGCCCCCAGGTGGGTCTCTTCCCCTCCATGCCCTCAACTCACCTCTGCCTAAAGCTCCACAGAACATCTCCTCGCCAGGAGGGATTCCTGGCCCAGAGGACACACAAGAGGCTTTCTGAGATAGAATTTGTTTTAGCTTCCAGGTCTTTTCTTTTTTCTTTTTTTAGCCTGTGACTTGCACATGATGTCTGCTCTCCTTCGGCTCCTGTGACCTATGAGGTGCTTGTCTCTTGAGTTCTCTCTTGACTCTGAACTGATCACCCACTGCAATATGAAAAAAAATGATATGCTTCTAATTTCTAAGGATTAGAAATTTTCATTATTTTCCCCCATCACCATCCCCAAAAGCCCTTTGATCCTTTCTGACTCCCTCCTCCCTCTCAATCTTAGAAAATTCAATTTGATTATGAATACCAGCTAGTTTATAATTATTTTGCTTTGTCAATTCATTTATGCTGGCTCATTGTTGTACTCAGATATCAGAAAACATACAATATTTGTCTTTATCTTTCCGACTTGCTTTACTATACATAATTCCCTGAAGTGCTTTCTATTTTGTTATAAATGGTAGTTTTGGTCTTTCCTTATAACCAAACAGTATTCCATGATGTGGCTGTACATCTTTCTGGTCTAATCCCCATCAGTGGACACTTAGGTTGTTTCTATGTCCTGATTATTGTAAATTATGGTGCAATAAACACTGTGGAACACAGAATTTTTTGAATTTATGCTTTCATTTTCTTCAACAAACCAGTTTGTTCTGTCTTTTAAGATATAGAAGCTGATGATTTATAAAATTTTTTATGCACCTCTGGCTACACCCCAGTTCTTGTATGCATAAATAAATAAATCTTTAAAAAATTTACATGTTCACACATTTGAAATGTTTTAATTTTCAAACTTGTGTTTTTATTCATTAAGTTTCTGGCATTCAGAGAAAATGGCCTACCCTGGGGACACAGACTAGTTATCGTTATTATATTTTAATTTTTTTCCACCACCACCGTCTCTTGTAACCCTTAGTATGTCCTAGTTATAATGCCCTTCATAGGTTGGTTCCAAAGTTCCCTTTTAAAAGAATTCTTTTTCTTCAAAGTTGATTTTTCAGAAAGATGCAAGCTTGTCTTGACCTTTTTATGATGGTAAAAATACTTAACGGAATATACCATTTTAATCATTTTT